TGGGGGTGGGAATAAGTAGGAGCTGGGAAAGGCCACACAGTGTGTGGCTTCTATTCGGGAACCACTAATTATCTTTCCCCTAAATAAAATTTCAGTGAAGAATGGCCACTCAGCACGTTGAATTCAGTTGCAAACACTGGTCATTCAGCACAGCGTAACAAAGCCACCACCACATCAGAAAAATAGGCTGAGTATTCCTGCAAGTTTTAAAAATATTTGTATTTTTATTTGTTTCAGAGAGAGGAAAGGAGAGGGAGAGAGAGATAGAAACATCAATGATGAGAGAGAATCATTGATTGGCTGCCTGCTGCACGCTCCTCACTGGGGATGGAGCCTGCAACCCAGGCATGTGCCCTGATCGGGAATCAAACTGTGACCTCCTGATTCATAGGTCAACGCTCAACCATTGAGCCATGCTGGCTGGGCAATTGCTGGCAAGTTTGGTCAGGTTCTTTCGTTGAGAACTGTTGTGGAATCATATATATGGTACCTATATATAAACATATATGTAACTTACATAAAATATTGTTGAAATAATCATATACACAGAATTTATGAGCTCAGAACAAAACATTTTTTTAAAACTTTTTAAAAAAATATATTTTATTGATTTTTTACAGAGAGGAAGGGAGAGGGATAGAGAGTTAGAAACATCGATGAGAGAGAAACACCGATCAGCTGCCTCCTGCACACTCCCCACCGGGGATGTGCCCGCAACCAAGGTACATGCCCTTGACCGGAATTGAACCTGGGACCCTTGAGTCCGCAGACCAACACTCTATCCACTGAGCCAAACTGGTCAGGGCAGAACAAAACATTTTAAGAATATCTAAATATGATAGACTTCATTAAAAAATCCTAATCTATTTAGAATTTTAAATGGAATTACTGCCAGATGAAATAAAAGTTTTATCTTCACCTCATTTCATTTTATCTGATTTATCTTTCTCTCAAGGGAAAAAAAAATTCTATTTCTGCCAACAGCAGGGCTTCCCGCTCCCTCCCCCCTCAAAAAAAATATATATCCAGTAGCAATAATCCTTTTAAAAACCACATAATTTCAAGGTTAAGGAAAATAAAAACAAACAAGAAAGTTGAAAGGAAGAAAATAAGATTTAAAATTTTTATTTAGATCAGAAGTTAGTCAGAACTACTATATTTATAAAGTGATACACCATTCTGCATTGTGTAAATGATATCCAAGACAGATTTTTTATAAAGAAAAAAGTATAACTGACATATCAAGAGAGAAAATAGTCCAACAGTTCCCTCTGCTGGATGTTTTTTTTAATTTTTCAAATTTATTGATTGATTTTAGAGAGAGGGGAAGGGGGAAAGAGAAGACCATCAAGTTGTTGTTCCTCTTATTTATGCATTCATTGTTTTGATTTATGTATGTGCCGGGAAAAGGCTGAACCTGCAACCTTGGCGTATTGGGACGATGTTCTAACCCAACTGAGCTACCCAGCCAGGGCCTATTTTGGAGAATTTTTGATTATGGATGATACTTTTTTTTTTTTAAGTATATTTTATTGATTTCTTACAGAGAGGAAGGGAGAGGGATAGAGAGTTAGAAACATCGATGAGAGAAAAACATCGATCAGCTGCTTCCTTCACACTCCCTACTGGGTATGTGCCTGCAACCAAGGTACATGCCTTTGACCGGAATCGAACCTGGGACCCTTGAGTCCGCAGGCCAACGCTCTATCCATTGAGCCAAACCGGTTAGGGCGGATGATACTTTCTTTATGCTCTTTTGTGCTCATCTGACACCACACATAGTTATTATATTATTGACTATATTCCCTATGCTATACTTTACATCCCCATGACTACTGTGTAACTACCAGTATGTACTGCTTAATCCCTTCACCTTTGTCAACCACCAATCTGTTCTCTGTATCTATGAGTTGATTTATGTTTTGTTTGTTCATTTATTTTGTTCTTTATATAAGTAAAATCATATGGTATTTGTCTTTCTCTGACTTAATTCACTAAACATAATACCCTCTAAGTCCATCCATGTTGTTGCAAATGGTAAAAAAAATTTTTTATGGCCAAGTAATATTCCATTGTATATATGCACCACTTCTTTATCCATTCATCTATTGATGGGCACTTAGATTGCATTTATATCTTGGCTATTGTAAATAATACTGCAATGAACATAGGGATACAACTCTTTTCAAATTAGTGTTTTGGGTTTCTTCAGATCAATACCCAGAAGTGGAATTGCTGGGTCCCTCTTTGACTCTGTTTTATAGGCTATTTTTTCTGGCATAAATGTTGCTATCCCAGCTTTTTTTTTGTTTCTGCTTGCATGAAATATCTGGTGTGATCTAAAGTTGGTTATCGGGTGTTTGTTCTGGGGCCTCTTGGGAGGGACTTTGATGCAGGCCAAGGACAGCTGCTGCCTGTGCCCTGCCTGGGGCCACTTACTATGACCTACAAAGTGGTTTGCAGATGGTTGCCATTTGTGCTGGGCCTGGGAGGCTAAACTGGGAATTGAGGCCAGCTACTATTGCTGGGCTTGGGGCTGCTTAGCAAGAGGTATGAGGCACACTGAGGCCAGATGCTGCTTATATAGGGTTTGTGAACCTTTGAGAGATTTTAGGAAAGTCCACACTGTGAGCAAAGACAGGCCACTGGTATGGAAAAACTACCGGAAGCACCTTGGGCTGGCCCACACTTTACACAACACCATTACAGTGTCCTGTATTTGTCTATTTACATCTACCAGAGAGTTTTATATTTTTGTATGCTCTCATGTTGATAAAATCTGTTTCAACTTACATGACTCCCTTTCCCTTTAGCATTTCTTCAAAGGCACACATCTAGTGGTAATGAGCTTCCTTAGCTTTTGTTCATCTGGAAAAGTATTTCTTCATTTTGCTGGATAGTATTGTCAGGTTTTTTTTCTTCTTCAAACAAAACTTTCTATTATCCCACTCCCTTCTGGCCTCTACGGTTTTTGCTGAGAGATCTACTGATTATTTTATGGGAGCTCATTTGTATGCGATAAGTCACTCTTCTTTTGCTACTTCAAGATTCTGACTTTTTAACTGGTTTCTGGATTTTTCATAAAGGCATTTTGGCCTCTATATTATTAAGTTGGTGTCTCTGTGGGGAATGAGGGCTGTAACTTCCTACCCCACTATCTGGTTGTCACTTCCCCTTACTATTTTAACCAGGGAAACAGGAACAGGCTATGGAACCCAGTATGCTTTATATATCACAAACAAAGCATTTACTAAGTACTACGCAGTAGTATGTACCTGGTATCCTTTAATATTTTAAGGCCTTGTTTTACAGATGAGATATATAAGATCATGTGTAAAAGGTGACTGGTATGTAGTAGGCGCTTACTTAAAAAATGGGAGCTATTTTTATTATTTCTTTTATACTAAAATTCAAGGTGGTGAAATTATTGTAGATTATTGTGTTGTGCCCAATGTAATCACAAGGATCCTTATAAGTAAAAGAGGTCATGAGCCAAAGAATGTAGCTTCTATAAACTGGTAAGGGGTAGGAAACTGATTCTCTCCTGGAGCCTCCATAGGGAACACAGACCTGCTAACACTTAGATTTAGTACAGGGAGACCTATTTTTGGGCTTCTGACTTCTAGAATTGTAAAGAATTTGTGTTGTTTTAAGCCACTAAGTTTGTAGTAATTTGTTACAGCAGAAAAAGAAACTAATACAGAAGTCTGAGTTAAAAAACTAAAATGACACGTTATGAAATTATTTAGGAAATGTTTTATTGTACAAAATTTACATTTGTATATGATGAAAAGCATAGCAAAACCAATCTTTTGCTAATCCATTTTTTTCTGTAAAGAGTTAAGATTTATTTTCTAATACATTAGATAATACAACTTTTATACAGCTAACAGTTGTGTTGGTAATAAGTATCTTGGGACATAACGTATAAAAATGAAAACAGATCAGAAAAGTGCAGGGGGAAGACCACTGCCAAAGAGTAATCGCCAAGAACTTGGCATTTTCCACGGCAAGGCAGACGCTGTGGGGTCATCACTCTGTAACCGAAGAACAAAATATTTTAACCCTTCATCTTTACCAACAAATTACCTTTAACATGTAAGTGTTATAAAACTCTCCCTTCTCTAGTTTTTTGGTTCTTTTTGGTTTTGACACTTTTAGCTCCGTTTTATTGTAAGGAAAAACAAAGCAATACATTTCTATGTCTTTATGTCAACTTAAGATAAATTTCCTCAAGTTTCAAATCATAAAGATATGCCAGAAAGGCTGTGGATAGATTCCACCAAGTAAAATCAAACTAAAAAGAAATAGGTATTAAAAAAAAAAAAATCAGTGCTATCTTGAGGGAATCAATTTGTTCTTAGCAAAATCATAAATTAAAAAGACAGTTGCCTACCATATAAAACAGCCTTATGGGACTTTTGTTATGCCTAAAGGCTAACTGATTTCTCTAGGTGTGATGTTCTTATTTCATAATAGAGAAAAGTATTTTAATTATAATGCGTATTCGATAGCTACAGTATTGCTCACATAACAATACCTTTTGTTTTCTAAAAAAAGGAATCCTGAATTCCAAAAAGAACTTGTTTACTCTTATAAGAAGCTTTTGGTATAAATGCAACATGAAGAGTGAATACAATGAAGTACTTAAGATATTCCTTTTATGGAGAATTAGCTTTAACGAAACAACTGTAAATAGCAAGTTGGTTAACTTGCCCTCCTTTAAAAAGTTCAGTTAAAATAAATTTTATGTAGAAATATGTTTATATTCAACATAAACTTTTACTTATTTGGTCTACTTATATAGCATATAAAATACAAGTTTATGAATATATAACCAGAGAAATCAGAGGCTAAGCTATAGGAAAAAACTTACATGTGGTTTGATTATCTGAAGCCATTCATTAAGATATTCAACAAGACCTAATGCATCTGGGATATTGTCTCCTTCTGAAACAAATTTGAGCAGAACTGCCATTGGGATTTCTTTAGAACAGCTACAACAAATAAAAAAAAATAATTAAGTATTCTACTGATATAAGACGCTGTTAACTATAGCTAAGTGTGTCTGTTTTATAGCTAAGATAATCTAAGTTTTGGGCAAGGAGAAGATACCCATTATGAAATCACTTATTTATCTCCCGTTACCCCAGATACATTCTTCTGTTTGTGTGGCCAGGACTTGGAGCCATCCATGTAAGCCCACCCTAGGCATATGCAAGTTTGTGCCTCACACCAAGGCTACATAAAAAACCACCCCTCTATCCTTGGTTATAGAACATGAGATATGTTTTGATCTACTCCCGAAACCTAATAGCTGTGTAGAAACAGCTATTTTCAGAAGCACCACAACAGAGACTGAAATATTTTAACACCTTATTATTCAAAAGCAGCAAAAGAAAATTGTGGAACAGAATAAAAGGGGGGGGGGGGCCTTACTATTACTTCTTACATTTATTGAGTGATTATTATGTGCTAAGCAATGTCTGCATATTTTATTACTTAATCCCTACAACAATCCTTGAGAAAGTTATAATTATACCCATTTCATAAATCAATCAGTTTGGAATAATGGAAACAAGGACAGAGTACCTGGATTCAAATTCTAGCTCTGCCACTTACCAGATTATGTCAGGCAAGTTACTTTATCAAGGCTTTAGTGTTCCTCTTCTGTAAAAGAGGGATCATAACAGAATTGAACTCATAGCGTTGTCCTGAGGTTAAAAGGTGGTAGTGACGGCAAAGTGCTTAAAACAGTGCCTGCCCATAATTAATGTTAGCAATTAATTATGAGGTAACTTAGGTTTACAGAGATTTCAATATAGTTAACATGCTCCAAGTTCTATATGTAGGAAGTGGCAGAGGTGGCACTTGAACCTAGGTCTTTCTGACTCCAAACTTAAGTCTCTTAACTGTTATGTTATAAATGCCTCAAGCTAGTAACAACATGGAGATCTTACCAATGCAAAAAGCTTCCTGTTTGCCAACAAAAGCAAAAATCATTTCTAACATCCTAAAACCAAGCCCTATGAGAAAAACTATACCAAAACTTGAGAGCACATGACTGACAGAGAGCTACAGATTTAAGATGTGGAGGAGACTCTAACATGTAAGTTCAAAGGTCTCAGCTGTACAGGGAGAGCCTATCACAGCATTTCAGCTTAAAAGTTAGAAGTTGGAAGTTGTTAGCACTAATTATACCATCTCAGTACACAGTTCTAAAATACCTTAGGGACTCTCTGGCTTTGTATGGAAGAACTGTGAGCAGTGTTCCTGATTATTCATGTCATGATAGCCTTAGAAATGGCTCATGCTGAGAGAAAGCCAGTCACCCTGGTGTGCCTTCATTTTAAAGGCTCTAGCTTAAAAAGGGCTGGGGTATGGCCCTGAACTTACAGTAACCCACACTACCACTTTGTAACAAAAATCTATATACATAAAAACCAAACGACCAGAACGACCAGTTGCTGTGACACACACTGTGGCGGCCAACCAGCCCGATCGGGGCCCCGATGGCCCCCCTCAACCTCACACAGCCCCTCTCCCTAGCTGGCCCATCCCCACCCATCGATTGGGGTGCGGCCAGCTGGCCAACCACTTGCGGCCCCTTCCCCCCACCCCTGATCAAACCCTATCTGTGCATGAATTCGTGCACCAGGCCTCTAGTAGTAGAATAAGAGGTTTTTTTCTGTTTTTTATAAAAAAATATATTTTATTGATTTTTTTACAGGGAGGAAGGGAGAGGGATAGAGAGTTAGAAACATCGATGAGAGAGAAACATCAATCAGCTGCCTCCTGCACACCCGCTACTAGGGATGTGCCTGCAACCAAGGTACATGCCCTTGACCAGAATCGAACCTGGGACCCTTTAGTCCGTAGGCCGACGCTCTAGCCACTGAGCCAAACTGGTTAGGGCAGAATAAGAGTTTTAATATCCTCTGGTCCTCTCTGTAAAAATGGAAGGTGGAGTGTGACTAATTTTATTACTTTTTGTGACTAACACATGAGATATATCCATCATTAATTTACAAATATACTTCTATTTCAATTAAATACAAGAGTGGACAAAAGTAGGTTTATAGTTGCTTGTATGGAAAATAATACAATAATTAATAAGTGATAACACAAGAATAAACTCTGTGTTTCGTGTACTCACAGCTTTAAACCTACTTTTGCCCACCCCTGTGTAAGGACTCTCAAGTCAGCCACACCATTGTCACTAGGAGTAATATTGTCTTTTCCAGAGATAAGAATATATATTTGTTCTGATATTGAGAAGGCAAAATATGTATATCACAAAACATTTAGCAAATAATCTTAATATGCATTGAGGGAGAAAAAAGGATTAAAAATTGTATGAGTCATGATTTTTTTTCAGTTTCAAAAATTATTTAGCCCTAATCGGTTTTGCTCAGTGGATAGAGCGTTGGCCTGCGGACTGAAGGGTCCCAGGTTCGATTCTGGTCAAGGGCATGTACCTTGGTTGCGGGCACATCCCCAGTAGGGGGTGTGCAGGAGGTGGCTGATCGATGTTTCTAACTATCCCTCTCCCTTCCTTTCTGTAAAAAATCAATAAAATATATTAAAAAAATTATTTATTGTGCTGAGCTGGTTGGGCTCATCGGCTGAGTGTGGACCTATGAACCTGGAGGTCACAGTTCGATTCTCGGTCAGGGCACATGCTGGGTTTCAGGCTCAATCCCCAGTGGGGGGTGTGCAGGAGGCAGCCAACTGATGATGTTCCTCTCTCATCGATGTTTCTATCCATCCCTCTCCCTTCCTCTCTCTCTAAATATCAATTTAAAAAATATATTTAAAAAAAGTATTTATTGCAATGAATGTAAAATTGCATTGAACATTAAACACAGGTCTTGCTATAGCTGAATACAAGAAAATTGATTTTGTGAGAAACAACTTTAAATAGGATGAACTCTAAAGTTATGTTTTGTAGTATCTTGCAGATACATATATTCAATTCAACTATATTTTAAAGAACTTGGGAAGACTAAAATTACTAATTCAGAAATAAAAGTGAGGACATTACTACTGACTTTACAGAAATAAAATAGGAGTTATATTTTAATGCAACAGATTTTCTGTTTAAAATGATGCCAATGTTCTGAAAGTGGTGATGGGTTCACAACACTGTGAATGTATTTAATACCACTTAATTGTACACTTAAAAATGGTTAATGTTATGTATATTTTACCACAATTAAAAAAAGATTATAGCACAGCCGGCGTGGCTCTGTGGTAGAGCATCAACTTGTTAACCACGAGGTCATGGTTCGATTCCCAGTCAGAGCACATGCCCGGGTTGCGCGCTTGATCCCCAGTGTGGGGCGAGCAGGAGGCAGCTGATCAACGATTCTCTCTCATCATTGATGTTTCTCTTCCTTTCCTTTCCTCTCTGAAATCAATAAAAATATAAACAAAAAAACCCCAAACCAAAACATAAAAAAAAAAAAAAGATTATAGAGGTTGCATTGAACAAGTATCAGGATCCCTAAAATGCCACATATAATAAAGCATTAAATAAGGCTTTTCAGGAACCTGTTCTCCTATAATCAAATTTCAATCTTTCCCCTGAAAGTAATTTCCGTTTTATAAATATACTAGAGGCCTGGTGCATGAGATTCATGCACTGGGGTGGGGGGAGGGGTTGTCCTTCAGCCTGGCCTGTGCCCTCGGGACTGGGACCCCTTGGGGGATGTCTGCCTGCTGGCTTAGGCCCGATCCCAATCCCTCTCGCAGTCTGGGGCTCTCACAGTCTGGGACCCCTTGCTCCTTACCATCCGCCTGCAATGGAGGCGGGAGAGGCTCCTGCCACCGCCGCTGTGCTCACCAGCTGTGAGCCCGGCTCACTGCTCCTTAGCGTTACCTACGAGGTGGGAGAGACTCCTGCCACCACTGCTGGGCTTGCCAGCCATGAACCCGGCTTCTGGCTGAGTGGCGCTCCCCCTGTGGGAGTGCACTGACCACGAGGGGGCAGCTCCTGTGTTGAGTGTCTGCCCCCCAGTGGTCAGTGCGCGTCATAGTGACCGGTCTTTCTGCAGTTCGGTCAATTTGCATATTACTCTTTTATTATATAGGATAGGATTTTCAAAGTTCCAATAAGCAATCCAACAATTCTCCAAATTATCTTACTTTCACTTTTAAATAAAGCAGGGAACAAATGAGAAAGAGGCAAACAAACTCACCCTTCATCATAGAGTGTTTTTGTGATACCTCCTCCAGGTATACGGATGCAATACTCAGAATCACTTATTTCAGGAATGCATGGGCTTTTTTCCATTTCTTCCCAGTTAAGGTTTTTTATTTTATTTTGAATACTTTTTTGCAGGGAAGGTGTAAGTAGGTACCTAAAGGGAGTACTAGAAACAATTACATAATTAACTTTCTAAAAACTCACAAATATAAACACGAAGGCAAAAATCAGTTCTTTTAGAAAAAATTATCTTATTCTCTACTCCATTGCACAAGGCAAACCTAAGTTTTAGCAATCTTTGGAAGAATAACGTAAAAAATATTGTTCTGACTTGCTATTTACAGAGAAATGGTAAAGAGATAGGAATATTTAAACTAAGGCAAGACCATCACGAAGATAAATTTAGTTTTCACAGCTATGCTCCCTTCTGGCCATGATGCCTATTGTGAGATTCCTAGAAATTAGCTCTAGTTTTGAAAGGTTACTCTTGGCTGATATTTTTCATCATGATTTTATACGTGCATAAATGATCATGCAATAAAATAGATTATATTGCTATCTCTTGGATACTTTGTCTTATATTTAAGATTTCAGTTTGACATGCCTAGGAGCTATACTTACTAGTAAAGGCAACTGGATTTCTGCAAATACAAATGGTTGAATATATGAAAATAAACAGAAATATCAACCCACTCTTTAAAAAAATTATTAAACAATAAATCTAAGTACCCTTTCTCCTTTCTTTTCATAGCTTAGCTCTGTAATGTTGCATGCACAATACCACACAATCAAAGCACAGTTCCAGAACCATCTGTATATTTCCTTGTGCCCCAACCATGGAACTGAAAGAGTCAACCTAACTGTGCTCCTTCCTATCTCTTGACTTTCTTTTACCTTCTTCTTTCTAAATTTCAGGGAGGAGAGGTAAGGATATACATGGCTTGTAAAACTTATTTTAACTTTTTAATAGATAAATCATCATAATATTGCATAATCTTTACAAAAACATTTTTTCAAAGGCAAAAACATACCTGCGAAGTTGTAGATCATTACGGTGATATGAATGACTGCTTGAAAGAACAATAACTTTGGCACAGTTACTACTTTTCACCCATGAAAGCAGTTTTTCACAGAATGGCTTTGATTTATACTTCGTATGTGTTGGGGGGAAAAAAAGAAAATCTAAAAGTTAGATCTTAGAGTATACTAGTAAGAGGATTCTCTATAATATTTTATCAACTTTATCTCATGATATAGAATTTAAATATTCTAAAATTAGAGTTATTTTTAGATCCATTTACAGTCCTTAAACTGAAGGTGAAAAATGAAGAGCAATGAATTACCTATTATATCTTTACAATCTATAGATATAAAAGCCTAAGTGACCAAATGACCAGTCGCTATGACATGCACTGACCACCAGGGGACAGACATTCAGTACACAGGATCAGGCTCTCTCCTGTCTGAATCGGGCCTGCGGGGATCGGACTCCCTCCTGTCTGGATCGGGCCTGCGGGGATCGGACTCCCTCCTGTCTGGATCGGGCCTGCGGGGATCAGGCTGAAACAGGCTATCCAACATGTCCCGAGGGGTCCCAGATTGCGAGAGGGCGCAAGCCAGGCAGAAGGACTCTACCGTGCACCGGGCCTCTAGTTTAGAAATAAATTGTGAGGAATCTAGATTTTTAAAAAATTCTATTTTGACTAAGGAAAATTTCCAAGTACTCCAATTAAGTAATACATTATTACTTAAAAACTACCACATGGTCATCTCTGAGATGTTCCTGCCAGAAATTTCCGACCTGTATTTGATCATGAGGAAACAATTAGATGAATTCAGAATGCCAAACATCTGGTCTTGTTTTCTCAAAGGAGTCAATATTGTGAAGACCAGAAAGGAGAGCCAAGTTCTATCTTGAAGGATACCAACTAAAAATATGTAACAGGCACATGCAACATGTGAATCTTGAATGGATCCAAAATTGAAAGATATGTTGAAGACAATTAGGGAAATTTGAATATTCTGGATGATACTACTGAAAAATTGATTAAATGCTGCTTTTCTTAGGTGTGGTAATGGTGTTGTGGTTGTGAAAAATAATGTCCTTATTCTTGAAAGATACGTGCTAAAGTATTTTGGGGGGTGAAATATGATGTTGCTGGCCTATTTTTGTATTGCTTAGCAAAAGAAAACTGTGCATAGAGAGAGAATCAAGCAAGTGTGACAATATGTTAACATCTTGGTTAATGTGTAATATAGGTTATAAAATTATGAGGGGGAGAACCCACTTTACGGGAACTCTTCATGTACTGTTAATAAACAAACAGTAATAATTCAATAAAATTCAATAACATTTAAACTGCAGATAAGAAATGGCTAATCTTTAAAAATAGAAGTGCTGGATAGTATAATGGTTAAGAGAGGCAGATTCTAGAATCAGGCTGCCTAGTAATTATATATAGAGTGCTTAAAACAGTATTGGTGCAAAGTATTAATACTCAATAAATGCCTGCTACTTTGAAGTCATTATTTACTAAAAATTTCATTTAGAAGTGTTTAACACTTTAGCTGGTTTGGCTCAGCGGATAGAGCCTACAGACTGGTTCGATTCTGATCAAGGGCACATACCCAGGTTGTGTGCTTGATCCCCAGTATGGGGCGTGCAGAAGGCAGCCAATCAATGATTCCCTGTCGTCATTGATGTTTATATCTCTCCCTCTCCCTTGCTCTCTGAAATCAATTTAAAAAAAAAAAAAAAATGCACACACACACACACACACACACACACACACACACTGAGTGGCCAGATTACTTTGACCACCTGACGTTTGTAGGCAAATTAGCTATAATTTTATAAAATATATTTTATTGATTTTTTACAGAGAGGAAGGGAGAGGAATAGAGAGCCAGAAACATCGATGAGAGAAATATTGGTCAGCTGCCTCCTGCACACCCCCTACTGGGGATGTGCCCGCAATCAAGGTACATGCCCTTGGCCGGAATCGAACCCGGGACCCTTCAGTCCACAGGTCGACGCTCTATCCACTGAGCCAAATCGGTTAGGGCTTCATTGATAAATTTATGACTTCCTAAACAGATGGAACCTTAAGCCACTCAACATTTATTGACAGCTTCTCTACATGCAAAGCACTGTTTTATTTCATTTTTTTAAAAAATATTTTTATTTATTTCAGAGAGGAAGGGAAAGGGAGAGATAGAAACATCAATGATGAGAGCTAATCATCAATTGGCCACCTCCTGCATGCCCCCCACTGGGGACTGAGCCCACAACCTGGGCATGTGCCCCGACCAGAATCGAACCTTGACCTCCTGGTTCACAGGTCAATGCTCAACCACTGAGCCATGCAGGCTGGGCGTGCAAAGCACTCTTTTAGAAGCTGGGGATATTAAGAGTGAATGATACATCATTACTTCTCTCAGGAAACTTACTTTCTATTAGAAGTAGATAATGAACACATATATGTCATGCCAGGTAGTGATGAGTTGTGAAGAAAACTAGCACAGGATAAGATGATAGAAAGGGTGGTCAGGGAAGGCCTTTCTGATGAGGTAACATTTAAGCAAAGACTAAAGGAAGTGAGCCATTTAGGTATCAAGGGGAAAAGTATTCCAGGCAGATAAATTAGTGTTAAGATTCTGAGACAGAAGTGAACTTCATATGTTTTAACAACACAGGGAGGCCAGTGTGGCTGAAGCAGGCAGGGTGAGCAAAAAGGGTCAATAGGCAATGAGCACAGAGGAGTGGTCGGAGGTCAGATTAGGTAGAGCAACTGTCCAACAGAACTCTGCAATAACAGAAATGCTCTTTATGGCAAGTTCTTGACACATGTGACTAGAATGATAGAGAAACTGAATTTTTAATTTATTCACTTTTAATTAATGAATCAGAATTTAAATAGCTAGATGTGGCCATGGCTACCATATCCGTGCAAATGCAGGGCCTGATGGACCATAGTAGGGCTGTGAATTCACTCTGAATAAGACAAGAAGCCACTAAAAGGCTTTTTGAAGAGAGAAGTGATGTGATTTGAAAGGAACATTGACGTGCTGTTTGCAAACAGACTATTAAGTGTTTGTGGGAAGTAGTTGGGGCAAGACTAGAATCAGGGGCATAAGAGATGACAGTAGTTTGGACTACAGCGGTAGCAGCTGGATGCAGAAAATATTTTGATATATCCATAACTTATATGTAGATGCCACTGCTTGAAACGTAATACAAATGAAATAAACCTTAATATTCACATGCTTAAGTTTTTTCACCAAGGCTACCTGAATTGGGAATATGTAAGATCCAAGCTATATGTCCCAATTCCTTTCAATATAATCATAAAATAATGGTAGTACCGCTGAAATTTTATGATTTTTTTTCACTGTAAATTCAGAACTTTCTTAACTGTACATACAATAAAAACTCAGAAATTATTTTTGACTCTTAATTCTTAATGATACTTAGTATTTTCTCATATTTTACTTTAATAAATTTTAAAAGGCAAATATAATATGCTAACCTTAATAAAAATGGATCTTAACTGAAGAACCACTAGCTTCTTTGAAGGCAATGAATATACTGTAAAGACAAGAAGAAAATGAAATCATACAAAAGTTAAAATGAAGGAGTTATAGAAATAAAACTATTAGCCACCCAAGTGCCCGTCAATAGATGAAAGGATAAAAAAGTTGTAGTACATATACACAATGGAATATTACTCGGCCATAAAAAAGAATGAAATCTTACCATTTGCAATAGCATGGATGTACCTAGAGTAGTATGTTAAATGAAGGGATTAAGAACTTCAGATTGGTAGTCACAAAATAGTCCTGGGAATGTAAAGCACACCCTAGGAAACATAGTGAAAATAATGTATAACTATGTGTCAGGTGGGCACTTGAAATATTGGGGGAACTACTTTGTAAAGTATATGACTGACTAACCACTATGCTGAAATTAATACGAAGTAATACTGAATGTAAACTGTAACAGAATTAAAAGGATATAAAATTTAATGTAAAAATTAAAATCGAATCTTTTGTATCTATATATTTTCTTTTTCTTTAAAATATATTTTATATTAATTTCAGAGAGGAAGGGAGAGGGAGATAGAAACATCAATGATGAGAGGGAATCATTGATTGGCTGCCTCCTGCACACCCCCTCCTAGGGATCGAGCCCACAACCCAGGCATGTGCCCTTGATCAGAATCGAACCCGGGACCCTTCAGTCTGCAGGCCGACGCTCTATCCACTGAGCCAAACCGGCTGGGGTGTATCTATATATTTTCAATAATTAAAATATAGAATATGTACTATATCACTTGGTTAAAATAAAGCATTTTAGAAGTACCTTAAAATGTACCAGTGGGTTTTATTCTATAGAATACATTCATTTCTGAAAAGTTAACTCTAAGAAAATTATTTTTCCTCTAACTTTGATTATAAAACCAAAGAAGTAGCCCTGGCCAGTGTGGCTCAGTTGATTGGAGCGTTGTTCCGTGTACTGAAGGGTTGCAGGTTCGATTTCCAGTCAGGTACATACCTAGGTTGTGGGTTCGATCCCCAGTTGGGGAGTGTTCAGGAGGCAACCAATGGATGTTTCTCTCTCTCTTCGTTACTTTCTTTCTAAAACAAAAAACAAAACAAAAAACCCAAAGAAGTATTCCCCTAGAAATTTGACATTACTGAAAATAAAATAATTCTTAAGAATGTTTTCAGTTTCTGATAGTCTCCCTTCTCCTCTCTAGAGAACAGCAATACTAATTGGGTTAACGGAAGAATAAAACAAAGGAGAATGTTAGTCATGTAATAAAATCCCTGGAGTAAGTACATTTCTGTTTTTTAGGAGGTTTTTGTTTTGTTAATCCTCACCTGAGGATATTTTTCCATTGATTTTTAAAGAGAGTGGGAGGAGGAGATATATAGAGAAATATCAATGTGAGAGAAACACATCAATTGGTTGCCTCCTGAACATGCCCAACCAGGGCCAGGGATCAAGCCTGCAACTGAAGTATGAGCCCTTAACTGGAATCGAACCCAGATCCTTCAGTCTGTGGGCCAATGCTCTATGCACTGAGCCAAACTGGCTAGGGCAGGAGTTTTTGAAAGACCTGAAATAACATGCAAAATTTTCTGTGAGTCAATGTGTGTGGTTTTCTGGGAAAAGGACCCATAACTTCTATCAGATTCTACAAAGGGTCCAATTTACTGATGCCTAAAATGTCCCTGTCAACTTCACATCCAGGAATGAAAAGCTCTGATATGAACCAAAGACAAAATATAGTCTCTAAGGACATAGGATTAGGTTACTGTGCTAAGAGGTAAGCTTATCTTTAATTTTATTTTTAAAAATTGTATTGATTTCAGAGAAGAAGGAAGAGAGAGAGATAATCAACGATGAGAGAAAATCATTCCGCCTCTCGCACGCCCCCCACTAGGATGGGATGGGGAATCGAGCCATGACCTCCTGGTTCATAGGTCAATGCTCAACCACTCAACAACACCGGCTAGGCAAGAGGTAAGCTTTTAGTTACTATAAAAAAGATTACAAATAACCCTAGATTTGAGCAAATCCTTTGGTGGATCAGGTCTCTTCTGCTATAGGTCTTTTGGGGATTATCTCATTGGACTGTTATGGTGTGGTGTGATTGGGGATTTGCATCAGCAAGTCTAGTAACCATCAGGTATGTTCAGGGCAAAGGCAGCTAAAGCAGGAAGATTAAGAATTAGGAAAAAAGGCCCGGTTTGGCTCAGTGGATAGAGCATCAGCCTGCGGACTCAAGGGTCCCAGGTTTGATTCCAGTCAAGGGCATGTACCTTGGTTGCGGGCACATCCGCAGTAGGGAGTGTGCAGGAGGCAGCTGATCGATGTTTCTCTCTCATTGATGTTTCTAACCCTCTATCCCTCTCCCTTCCTCTCTGTAAAAAATCAATAAAATACATTAAAAAAAAAGAATTAGGAAAAAAGGGATAAATTTAGGGAAAAAGGATTAAGGCATAGGCCACTCAGGCCTCCAATTTATCTCTGATGTACACATATAGTGCAATGCAAACCTACTGGGAAGAGGACATATCTGTAAGGAGTTAGCAGGCTAAGCTTTAAAATGTAAGATATCCTAACTTCCATATAGCAAAACTTAAGCTCTCCATCAGTGTATCATGAAATAATTTTCTGTTAAAATCCTGTTTTCCTTTTTTTTTTAATCCCTCGTTTTCCTTCTGATGAAATACGAAAGCAATATTACCTTTTGTGTATTCGGTCCAAAAATATTTAGCTTTTATCTAACCAACTCTTTTTTTTTTTTTTTTTTAAAGACAAAGGAAGAATCATTTTTTTTTTTTTTTTTTTTAATATATTTTATTGATTTTTTTTTACAGAGAGGAAGGGAGAGAGATAGAGAGTTAGAAACATCGATGAGAGAGAAACATCGACCAGCTGCCTCTTGCACATCTCCCACTGGGGATGTGCCCGCAACCCAGGTACATGCCCTTGACCGGAACCGAACCCGGGACCTTTCAGTCCGCAGGCCGACGCTCTATCCACTGAGCCAAACCGGTTTCGGCTAACCAACTCTTTAGACCAGAGGTGGTGAATCTTTTTTCTGCCAAGGGCCATTTAGATATTTATAACATCATTCCCGGGCCACACAAAATTACCAACTTAAAAATTAGCCTGCTATATTTGGTCAAATATTTAATTAACTCACCCCTAATGCCTTGGTAGGGCCCAATCAAAAGATTTCGTGGGCTTTATATGGCCTTCGGGCCGGATGTTCCCCATCCCTGCTTTAGACCTAACTCCGGTAACAGAAAATACAGAGACTAGAGGAATAAGCCAAATAACACCACAAGGAGTAATAAGATAAATGTAGGTAGGACATTCTATAGGACAATGAGTCCAGTTTTTCCTTCAATCAATCAGTTTCATGAAGATGTAAATAAAAGACTATTCTAGAAAAAAAGAGATTTCAAAGGTATAACAATCAGATGTACTTTGGATCCTGGTTTGGGCAAACTTAACTTTAGAGGACATTTTGGGGTACACTGAGTCAATGTGAATATGGATAGGGTATAAAAAGTTATTAAGAAACTGCTATTGCTAATTATGTTAAATGTAATAGTATTTTAGCCCAGGCAGTGTGGCTGAGTGGTTGAACATCAACCTATGATCCAGGAGGTTGCAGTTCAATTTGCGGTCAGGGCATATACCTGGGTTGTGGGCTCAGTCCCCAGTGTGGGGCATGCAGGAGGCAGCCGATCAATGACTCTCTCATCATGGATGTTTCTATCTCTCTCTCTAAAACCAGTAAAATTTAAAAAATGTAACTAGAGGCCCAGTGCACGAAATTCATGCATGGGTAGGGTCCCTAGTGGCTGCCAGCTGGGGCCTCCCTTCCCCCGGCTGGCCCCATCCCCTGGCCAAACTCCTGGTGGAGGGGACAATTTGTATATTAGGCTTTTATTATATAGGATGGTATTTTAGCTATGTAAGAAAAAGTTCTTAAAAGATAAGAGATGCACACTTACATATTTAAGGTAAAATGTCATATCTATAATTTATTTCAAAATACCTCATCTTAAAAAATAAAATAGCCTGGCCGGTGTGGCTCAGTGGTTGAACATCAACCTATGAACCAGGATATCACAGTTTGATTCCCAATCAGGGCACATGCCTGGGTTGGGGCTCAATTCCCGGTGTGAAGGAGGCAGCCAATCAACGATTCTCTTTCATCATTGGTGTTTCTGTCTCTCCCTCTCCCTTCATCTCTGAAATCAATAAAAATATATCTAAAAAAAAAAAAAAGGAGATTAGAGAACTATAATTGACTTGTTGCCAATTTGTGTCCATGAAAATCAGTGGGTCCTCCTTTAGAATGAAGGTACGTTAGCAGGGTGATTTGGTACTTAAGAGAGTCAGCCTCAGGGACCAGAGTGGCTTGATTAGAAGTTCAGTTATACCAGTCATTAATCATGTGACCTTAACTTCTCTGTGCAATGGTTTCCTCATCTGTAAAACTTGCTATGGAATAATTGTGATGATTAGATGAGTTAACACATATAAATGCAGTGTTCAGTTTATAGATAATAATAAATATTAGTTATCATTAATAGAAAATTAAAAGTTCTAGTTCTAATATTTATAGTCCTTTATCCTTTAAGGTGATAACTGAAATTACATCTTCTGTTAACAAAGCCATCTTTCCTGCAGGAATTTCATTATTAAGATGATTTTTTAAGTGTTTTTCATTATCACAAGCTAATGACACGAGTAATAAAACTAACAAAAACCAAAATGCTTTTTCATTTGTCTTTCAATCCACCAACAGTCTTTCATGGTCCTCTAGCACTTCTTGACTTTAACCTTAAAATGATAAAAGAGGACTGAGAGGCTAACAGAGGAACTGGCCATCAGATGAAGTAACTGGATGCTCCTATGCTTCATGATCAACAGCATTCCCTTACTCATTCAGTGCAGTACCCCATTATAAACAAACAGTGGTCAGTGCAATATAAATTGTATTCCTGATTAAGCCTGAAAGTCCAATGAAAAATTATGGGAAAGGCCTACACCTACTAGCAACATTAGGCAATTCAATCTTTCCAAGCCTTACTGATATCATGTTATTATGGATTCTATAATAATGTGAGAGGATGATTGAAGCTTAGATGAGATAGCACATACTAAACATACTGAGGACTGAGCCCAATGGAATACTTTTTTCTCCTTTCCTTATATTACTGATGCTTATACATGCCAATAAGAACAGAAAATAAAAGTGAGGATAAAAGGGAAAAACACACACACCCCAGGTTAAAAAAACAAAAATCTCAAATTCTATCCAAGGACACAAGTACACTCACACTTCTCATAGGAGTTGCCATTTAGAAAAGGCTATGAGAATAGGACAATGTGACTGGGTCAATCCTGCACAAAGCTGGCATCAAGGAAATGTCTGCTACAAAAAGTGTCTATACAGTCTATTTCTAATGTGACACAACTTTACTTGTAGTAGAATAAAATATGCCGAAATCTTACATACCTTCAGCATTTATACTGAGTTCTGTTGAATTTTCTTCTGATGTTGCATATGGATTATTTCCAACCATCGGCACAAGACAATCGGTATAGAAGTAACCAATTTTACACATATTCAATGTAGAAATAATCAGATCTATTGCAAGCTGGCCAACATTTCCAACGGATACTGCTGGCTGAAATAATTAAAAAAAATATATATTCATTAAGACATCAACATTAGCAGCCCTTTTAGAAGTTTAGACAGAAGACAATAATGACAGCACTAGTACTGAAAGTTTATGTTCAGCTACATCATTGCTACATACTGATTCTCTCATTAATTGCAACTGAGGTGTCAACAGGGAGCCTCCTCCACCTTTGAGACTATTGATTTAACACTTACTGAACACCTACTATGTGTCAATTATTACTCTAGGTACTGGGAATGTAGTAAAACAAATCAACAAAAATTCCTGCCTGTAGTGAGAGAGCAATTTATCTGTAAGAAAGTAAGTAGTAAAATATACAGTGTACAATAGTAATTACAAAAGTAATATGACCAAAAATTAAGTGACTGTGAATGTGTGTATATTTGTTTGGCTGCAATTTTAAAAAGGTTTGGTCAAGAAAAGAATCACTTCAGGTGACAAGAAACTATAGGCCTGAAAAGAGGTAAGGGAGAGAGCCACACAAAGACGGGGAAAGAATATTTCAGGCAGTGGGAAAGGAAGTATAGAGGCTGTGAGGTATGAACAAAAGTGCCCTGATAGTGCCTAAAGGTTGGAGTGGGCTCATTTTCACACTAAACCACACACAGACACACTTATCCCCATGACTAATATAGTCCAACTGCCAAATCTCTAGCTACAGCCAGAAACACTTATCTGAAATCGAGAGCCTAATGGATATCTCCCCACGGTTATGTCACAGGTAACTCACACTCAGCATGTACAATATTAAACTTTTGCTCAAACTTGTCCCCATATTTTGTATTTCAGAAAAGAGCAACAATTACTAAGCCAATTACTTAAACTGGGAAACTTCTTCCCTTTCTTTTACCAAGCACATCTAATACATGACTAATTTTCATTGATTCTACTTTATATTTTCCACCTCCATGTATTTTTAAAAATATATTTTTATTAATTTCAGAGAGGAGAGAGGGAGGGAGAGATGGAAACATTGATGAGAATCATCGATTGGCTGCTTCCTGCACGCCCCCTACTGGGGACTGAGCCTGCAACCCAGGCATGTGCCCTTGACCAGAATCGAACTCGGGACCTTTCAGTCTGCAGGCCAATGCTCTATTCACTGAGCCAAACCAGCTAGGGCTCCCCCTCCATATTTTTATGGGTCCTTCAGAGTGGTCTCCCACTTTTCATTGTTGTCATCTATCAATCCCCTGGTTACCTCCTGTAATTCCCTTTCCTCTTCTCTAAGATTTTGCTACTTTGGTTAGACCCTCACTTCCTTTATGATCCATCTTTTCCTCACTCCTGGATTCTTCCCAGCAGCACAGCCACATGCTCTACTATCTTTCCTTCCAACTAACTGTCCTTTGATCCCACATACGCCCCTCATTTTTAAGGCGTCCCTCCACAGCCCCAATTGCCCACAGTTGTTCACTAAAACATAAACAGGCAAAAGTAGGGTTATGATTGTGACACAAACAAATAACACAATAATTAATACATAATACAAGAATAAACTATTTTCCTACTCATGGCTGTAAACCTACTTTTGCCCACCCCTGTATGAAATGATTACCAAATATATTTAGTTTTAAGATCCATCACCACAGTTACAATTTTTTTTTTCTTGTGGTGAGAACTTTTAATACTCTCTTAGCAACTTTCAAATATACAATACGGTATTGTTAAGTATAGATACCATGCAGTACGTTACATACACCCTTGCAGGACCAACTTCTAACTGAAGGTCTGTACCTTTTGGCTACTTTTACCCATTTCACCCAACCACCCCTCCACTCCACTCACCGCTCCATCAGTTCTCTGCAGCTATAAGTTTGGTGGGGTTTTCTTCCTTTTTAAAATTTATCTCCCCCCCCCCCCCAAGAGTCTACATAGGAAGCTTTTCTTTTTCTTTTTTTAAAAAATATATTTTATTGGTTTTTTTACAGAGAAGAAGGGAGAAGGACAGAGAGCCAGAAACATCGATCAGCCGCCTCCTGCACACCCCCCACTGGGGATGTGCCCGCAACCAAGGTACATGCCCTTGACCGGAATCGAACCCAGGACCCCTGAGTCCGCAGGCTGATGCTCTATCCACTGAGCCAAACCAGTTAGGGCGGAAGCTTTTCTTAATAGGTCCTTGTGTCTCTCCCTCTTTCAATAAATCCTTGGGCCTGTCTATATCTTTTAAAAACTTCTGTCCTAGCATATATTGCCTTTATTGATTTACGTGTTTCTAACGAGACGGTAAAACTCCTTGAGGACAAGTACCTGGTCTTATTCTAATATTTTCACATTAGAGGCCCAGTGCACGAAATCCGTGCACGGGTAGGGTCCCTAGTAGGGTCCCTAGGCCTGGCGGGAGATCAGGGCTGATCGCGGCCAGGGCCTTCCTTGGTTCCGCGCCTCCCCCTGGTGGTCAGTGCCGTTATAGAGAGCAATCCAACTCCCAAAGGGACACTTTGCATATTAGCCATATGTAATATATAATAAATACAATGTTTATTGAAACAATGACCGAACACGGGCAATTGAAAGAGCTTTAAACCATGTTAGCTACTGGCAACGTTGCTTTCATTACCCTATCGGTAGGTAGTTTTTCTGGTTAATGACAAAGACCTGTTTGCCTAAGAATGACTCTAAAACGCTTTTTCTAGGATAAAATGTAAAGGGAATGTCCCGCCCAGCATATGCACAATGCCTCTGTAATATCCAAATACATTACGTTGTACAGTCAAAAAAGACGACAAACTGTAGGCTTAGATACAAGGTCTGGTGATAACGCCAACAAAGGTTCAATTTGGATCAGACCTCCAGAGACAACCTCACCACATTTCCAGCGCGGGCTGAAAACCTGAAATCAAAGTCCCCCCAGATGTATTCACACTTTTCAAAACCGTTCAATTCTGAAAATTAAATGTCTTTATAATCACTCAAAGCGTGTGCATACATTTTTTGGGGGGACACCTTTTAGAAACAAGAACTCTCTTTCCCCCAGGGCCGGTGACACCCCCGAGTTGGGGTGGCGGCACTGCAAGCGCCTTCCGAAAGGCAGCCCCCGAAGTCGGGCCGTGGGGAGGTCGGGACTCACCATCAGGAGCGTGAAACCCGCGAGGTCGCAGGCCGACTCTCCGCAGGGAACAAACATGGTCGCACTGAAGTGGGAGGACGGAGGTAAGCGCCGGCCTTGGAGGCAGGAGGGAGGCGGGAAAGCGAAATCCACGAGCTCCCGCAGCGCCTGCGAACCCGAGTCCCTAGAGCTCCGCGCGACGCACGCGCGGCGGGGCCCGGCGAACGGGGTCCTTCGAGGCCCTCGGCGCGGGGTCCTGAGGGGCCCGTCCAGCTACCTGCCGGTCCAGAGGGCAGAAGGGCCCCCGAGGGAGGGAGATACGGCGGAGAGCGGGTCCGAAGACTCTGACCAGGCGTTGGGGCGCGCTGAGGTCGTGAGATGGGAACCGTGAGGGAAAGGGAACGGCAGGTGGAGGCGATCCGGCAGAGCGGGGGACAGCCCCGACGCCTCGCCGTCCGCGGCCGTTTCAAAACAACAGTTGGGCGCCAGCGCAGCGGCAGCCTCGCCTCCTGCCCGGCCCCTCGCCTGACGCGGCGTCGCGTCCCCCGGGAGCTGCGCGAGGCGAGCGGTCCTGCCGGCTCCGTGCTCAGCCCCGACTAAGGCTCCGAGGCGGGCCGGGGCGCGCCGCGTGTTTGGAGCGCCTGCAGCGGAGAGAGTCGGCGGCGAGGCTCCGGCCCCAGCATGTCGCTGCCTCCGGAGAAAGCCTTTGAGCTGAAACAGCTCATCCACCAGCAGCTGAGCAAGGTGAGGGACCACGGGCCTCCTCTGCTCTCCGTGTGGCCCCGAGTCTGCGTCCCCCGCCCGGCAACGGCGGGCGGCGGCGTCGGCCCCTGTTTGCCGGCGACTTCAGCCAGGGCCGTGGGGCGCAGAGCGCGGGCTGGGCGCGGCTTCGGCGTGAAGCAGAGGACCTTTCCAGCCGCGATAGAAAGAGAGTTTTAATAAGAGTCGGAGGCGGTAGGACGGCGATAGGATTCGAGGGCAGGTGTGAACATGGAGCTTTATTGGAGGTCAGATCGAGTGTGTGTTGTTTTTGGAGACGGTGTACACTCGGACGTCGGGAAAGGGAGTTACTTTCAGGGTGAAACTGGAGGTGTCGTTGGTGTTGAACCAAAGCCGCGATTCTTCAGAAAGTCCTGGGAGGGTCTGTAAGGAAAGGGTTTGTGCTGCTTCCGAGCCGAAGGGGAACGTGGTGTCTTCGAGGCGCTAGTGGGATGCCCGGAGCTGGAGTGACCAAAGCTGCCGCTGATTGTGCGCGTGCGGGCCCGGCTTTGTGCGCTTTCGCAGCTGCTCCCGCTCGCGGGGCGCTCCTGGTCCGGGTTCGCGGAGGGCAGGTGAGCGGGCTGCGGGTCACGGCCAGCAAGCGGAGGGCTGGCATTCATGCTCCGCCGCCCCCGGGTCTGCGTCCTTCTCATCAGACCATCCTTCCTCCCAGAGGATGGTTTTGGTGGAGTGTTATCTGTAGGGAAGTAGTAACAGAGGCGGTATATAGCCAGGAGGGATGGTTTCTAGAATCTGCACTAACAATGTTTATCTTAGGTGATTATTATTTTTCCTTTTGCACAGCTACTTTATTCTCATTGAGTTCTGGTAACGATTTCCCGTTTACTATTAGCTGGAGAAGCCTTCCCGAATGGAGCCTCTCTTTTAACGTTATATTTTTCTTTGTCAGTGGTTTAGAAAGAAATTCACTGAGTGGCAACTGCCATTAATTTTGCTTGCCAGTATTGAAAAGAGAAATGAACTAAGTGGCAACCTTCAGCTGCTCTGTAATGCTGTACATTGTAATGCGAGCTTTCTGTGTATAGATGGACGTGCATGGCAGAATAAGAGAAATCCTTGCTGAGACGATACGGGAAGAACTGGCTCCTGATCAACAGCAGTTATCGACAGAAGATTTGATCAAAGCTCTTAGACGTCGGGGAATCATTGACGATGTGATGAAAGAACTTAATTTTGTTACTGTGAGTAATCTTTTAGGGGGGGAACTTGGAGGGTATAAATACATGATTGGGGGCCTCTCCTTTTAGTAAAACCACTTTAAAATAAGATCATTTTTGTCTGGTAATATCCTTGTTCCAAGTATAAGTTAATGTGCCCTGGCCGGTGTGTCTCAGTTGGTTGAGCATCGCCCTATTTACCAAAAGGTTGCCAGTTCAATTCCTGGTCAGGGCATGTACCCAGATTTTGGGTTCGATCCCTGGTTGGGATGTGTATGGGAGGCAACCGATCAATGTCTCTTTCCCTCTCCCTCCCTCTCTCTCTAAAATCAACAAAAATAGTTTTTTAAAAGTTTAAGCTAGCCCTAACCAGTTTGGCTCAGTGGATAGAGCATCGGCCTGCAGACTCAAGGGTCCCGGGTTCGACTCTGGTCGGGGGGCATGTGCCTTGGTTGTGGGCACATCCCCAGTGGGGAGTGTGCAGGAGGCAGCTGATCGATGTTTCTCTCTCATCGATGTTTCTGGCTCTCTGTCCCTCTCCCTTCCTCTCTGTAAAAAATCAATAACATATATTTTTAAAAAATCAATAAAATATGTTTTAAAAAAAGAAAAAGGCCGAAACCGGTTTGGCTCAGTGGATAGGGCGTCGGCCTTCGGACTCAAGGGTCCCGGGTTCGACTCTGGTCGGGGGCATGTGGCTTGGTTGCGGGCACATCCCCAGTGGGAGATGTGCAGGAGGCAGCTGGTCGATGTTTCTCTCTCATCGATGTTTCTAACTCTCTCTCTCCCTTCCTCTCTGTAAAAAATCAATAAAATATATTTAAAAAAAAAAAAAAAAGAAAAAGTATAAGCTAATGTAACAAGTAGGATTACGTATCAATGAAATTGGAGTTATATACCATATTTCTCTCTACAATGACAGAATTTTCTCCTTATTTATTCTTTAGGTCTGTAACTTTAAGTATATATATTTTAGTCACATTAGTTCATCACAACCTGTTTCTTTTTCACTAATATTGTTCTATGTATACATTTTAAGATTAGGCTCATTTTTTAAATAAGCACTGTTTTGGGACAATATTCTCTGTGATTAAGAACTTATCAATTTAAGAAAATAATTGTCTACATAAGAACTTTCAAATCTTTTCATATAAATAGGTCAGTAGTGGGATGATAGCCTTTCAGTGCACAAATTAGTAAGTAGGCCTTCTTTTGAAAATGAGGCAATAATGAGAAACTGTGACCTCAATACTGGGTAACATAATGTAAAAATTGGATGGACTTCATAATACACCAGGGAATAAGTATTTTAAAACAGCATCCTTTTTTGGTTTTTGAGATTTGTAAACCCGTTTGTTATAAAAGTTGACCTAGTAACAGCTTTTGCTGTGTGAATGTACTTCCTTATTAGAAGCAATTCATGGAAGAATCATAAGCCAAATGTTATATGAGGTTTGGAGAAAGTTTAACCTGTTTAAGACATTAGGGGTTTGTTTTTAGCATTCTGTGGACATTGCTTGAAGACAGTTTAATTTCTTAATAGTAGACTTTAGGAGTAACCAGTTGCAGTATCTCTTTTGAAGACTTTTCATTATTTTCCGTGGTTGGCAAACTGCGGCTCGGGAGCTACATGCGGCTCTTTGGCCCCTTGAGTGTGGCTCTTCCTAAGCCTTAGGAGTACCCTAATTAAGTTAATAACAACGTACCTACCTATATAGTTTAAGTTTAAAAAATTTGGCTCTCAAAAGAAATTTCAATCGTACTCTTGATATTTGGCTCTGTTGACTAATGAGTTTGCCGACCACTGATTCTTTTAATTATGCGAGGAAAATAGGGGCCTTTTGAGGGGCTTTATCCTGTTTACTTATGTTGAGTTCTTAGTTCCATTATTGACATTTTGCTTAACTATAATTTTGTTTCCTAATTTGTTCTGATTTTCTTTCTTCCTTTCTAGGATAATGTTGATCAAGAACCCCCTCCCTCTCCAAAACAACCAGTTTGTTTTACTGATAGACAATCAACGTTGTTAAAAAAAAGTATGTGTTTTGTTTTTTGTTTTTTTAACATTTAGTTGTGGATAGTACTGAGGATATATGTGCTATAGTATTTGGTATTTGTTAGAAAACTTTTCAGTTTTTCCCCCCCAGAATTAAATACTTATATTTTTGTGAGTAATCATCCAAAAAAACTGAGATTCTATTTTCTATGAAGTATGTCAGAAGATTTAATGTATAGCACAGTGGAAGCAAAAACACCTATTTTACATGTTTTAATGATACATTTTATAAAAATTGTATAGCCTTGCTTTTTTAATGGTAATGTAATTATTTCACAAGTGCACTTTGCTGAGTTGAGATAATTGTCTGAGTTGGTTTGTGGAGGTGAAGGAATGTTGGATAAGCCACTAACAGCAAAGGCATCCTAAACCTTGGCTCTGACTCCTCTCTAACTCGGAGAAAGTAGCCAGAATGTAAACTCAGAAAAAGGTGTCATACTATGTATCTTTTTTGCCCTGGGTGCAAATGGTCCTGGTATCCAGTAAATGTGTTATTTTTCTGCCCCCCGTCCACCCCTCATGCTGTCTTTGGTTTTATTTCTGTCAAGTTATTATTTCCTATTGTCTTGATCACATTTCTTAAGTTATTTGGCAGTTTCCTCATATATATTGCTACACTTTGCAGCTAATATTGATCCAACACGGAGGTATCTTTACCTTCAGGTTTTGGGTGGAAAAGCTTTCTTGGAACATCTGCAAGAACCTGAGCCTTTACCGGGACAAGTTTGTTCAACCTTTACATTATGTTTGCATTTTCGAAACCAACGTTTTCGTTCTAAACCTGTTCCATGTGCCTGTGAACCAGATTTTCATGATGGGTTTTTACTTGAAGTACACAGAGAAAACTTAGGTAAGGAGCAATAATAAATTGTCTTTAGTTGAGTAAATCTTTGTGAGGTTTCCTTGCAGAACAATAATAACATGCTGTAAGGAGAGATTTATAATGGATGACCCTCCCTCTCTAGACTTTAAAATATTTTTTTCCCTCCATTGCTCTTTTCTATATAAACTACTTCTGACTACTTTCTTGCTTTATTTTCTGGTAATTAATTTTCCCTGAAGATTATTTTTTAACTGTTTTAATGGTTGGTTGTATAGAATGAACATTTAAATACATATTAGGTGCACGGTACTATGCTAGGCAAGTCCTAGAGATATAGTGGGGAATAAGACATGATCCTTCTCATTTATGAAAAGTGACTACGTTTATGATATTATCTAACTTTAAAAAATCAAAATTTAAACATGAATCTGTAACTAATTTTTAGAACTTTAAAATTATAATACTTGATCCTGTAATTGTTTTACACTGTTTCTTCCTATAAGATTATTTCGTACATTTTGTCAGTATAGAAATTTTTATAATATATTTGTAAACTTAGCAAAGTTGTAGAATTATGCCTTCAGAATTTTAGATTACTAGGATGGCTAATGCAGTACTAAAATGTATTATTTTCCCCTCCTGGTGAAAAATAATGGCTTAAATTGCTAGCTCCAAGGTGTCGGGTCTTTCAGTTTTGGGTAGATAATACAGTGATTATTTCTGGAGATTAGGGATAAAGGTAGTTTTGGAATTAATGTTGACATATTTGAATTATCTTGGTAACATATAGTTTAGGAAGTACTTTTAATGAATAGACTTATCTCTTAGAGCAGTGGTCGGCAAACTCGTTAGTCAACAGAGCCAAATCTCAACAGTACAACGATTGAAATTTCTTTTTTAAACTTAAACTATATAGGTAGGTACATTGTTATTAACTTAATTAGGGTACTCCTAAGCTGGCCTTTGCTAAAAACGTCCTCAATCTGATTGAGGTACGTTTGCTGAGGTTGACCCCTTCCAACTCTCCCAATCCACACTCGTCTTGTATACTTGTTTCGTCTATCTCCTTTTGTTCATCCTCTCTATATGTCCAAACCATCTCAACATACCTTTCTCAATCCTCGACACTACATCTTCTTTCACTCCACAACGTTCCCTGTACGTGCACGCCCACACGTGATATTTTGTGGAAGAGCCACACTCAAGGGGCCAAAGAGCCGCATGTGGCTCGCGAGCCGTGGTTTGCCAACCACTGTCTTAGAGCAACCGTCGCAGGCCTTTCGGACTTCACGGACCACCGGTTGGCAACCGCTGCTCCAAAGGTTTCCTTGAACCAGCGGTTGCCAACCTTCCGGACCTCACGGACCACCAGTGGTCCATGGACCACCGGTTGGTGACCGCTGTCTTAGAGATCAGAAAATACTGATATTCATTAAGTGACAACTCATCACAATTCTACCAGTCCTCTAAAAAGTTGTGAGAAATAGGACTGTACTTTTATTCCCAGTCTGTTGCATGCTTTCTGAGTCATTACCAAATTATTCTATTTGGTTTTATATAAGTTTATTAATACTTTTCAGTAAAAGTATTTTATGTTGGCTTAACTGAATATGTAATATGGTGTAATTTTTTTTTTGTTTATGTTGCTAGGTGATGGAACTAGAATGGCTGATTCAACAACAATGTTATCAATAAGTGATCCAATTCATATGGTGCTAATCAAAACAGATATATTTGGTGAGACCACTTTAGTAGCATCCTATTTTCTCGAATGGCGATCAGTTTTGGGCTCAGAAAATGGAGCAACCAATCTTACTGTGGAACTTATGGGTGTAGGTATGATGATTAATATCATGTTACCTTTTATAGTCCTAGTTTGTTTGTAAGTACATTTTATATTTTGAAAATGCCTTTATAAATCAAGAGGCAAACGTAAAAAGAATTTCTTTAGAATTATAATTGGACTTCAGTGTTGTAGTCTATGGAAATGTCTTGAAGACTAGTGTGAGTGTAGAACTTCATAGTCATTCTGGCCTTGTCTTAAAGAAGTTTTTTTTCCTGGGAAATGAATAAACAAATTTTGAGAGTTTTCCCCCCCAAATTCATTTGATTATATATAAGGCTATAAAGAAAATTAAGATTCTACACATATGCATATACATGCATGCATACACAAAATACCTCCATTCCAGCACATCCCGGAATATAATGCATCCCCATTAGTACCAGTGGCTTCCTGCAGCAGCTGTTCCTGTGGAATATGGAGTAGGTTTTCTTCTATCTCTTTACATGTGGAAAAGTGACACTCAGAGGTGCTAACCTGCTCAATGTCAGTATCAGTAAATAGTATTTGAGGACAGAGATGGTGCCTGTCTTATTCACCATTGTCTCCTTGGACTCTCGCATACTACTTGATATGTAATACATATTTACCAATACAGTGAAAAACAAAAGCTACCTATGTTTTATGCATAACATAATGGAAATACTTTGGTATTGAAACTTAGTGACAGAGTTAAATCTGGCCATTGGACAGTATAGCTTTAGTAATTTAGATTTCGATAAGTCAGACCCTGAATGTGTTTTTACTTAAATAAAAAGTAGAGAAAAAAAGTTTTAGGTATGATGTTTATTTTTAACTGATACCCATTATTTGTTTTCTAATTCTTTAAATACAGGCATGGATTAAAAATTTGTATTCACATGTAATGTGAAAAATGGGAGGGGATAAATGGGAATTACTGTATGTGACAAAAAGTATAAATATTTTCTGAGAATGAGGTGTTAACAGCTACTTTTACTTTGGTTTTAAGTGTAAGTCTGGTTGGTATCAGACATTTAATTAATATAAAAATTAAGACTTCTGAATCCTTTAAGTCTGAAAAGTCACTTAAAAGTGATTAGGAAGCTAAGAAAATAGGTAACCTCCTTAAAATGACATGAAGGCCTTGGTACCAAATAAAAACTAATTTGATTTGGTTCATTTTGATATGAATATTAAAGGTAACGTTGAATATTTACGTAAGTGGTAAAGCACAAAATTCTTAAATTATTTTGGTTGACTACATATGCACAGCATTAAAACCTCTGAAGTTCTAAATATCTATTTACACTTTTAGGCACAGAATCAAAAGTTTCTGTGGGAATTTTAAATATAAAACTTGAGATGTACCCACCACTCAGTCAAACATTATCTCAAGAAGTAGTGAACACACAGGTAAAAAATTCTGAATTTCTCTTCTTTGTGTAATTGTTTTCATAATAGTATGTTTCCCTGTTGATCCTAGAAAGCACTTTCTTTTTAGAAAATTACAGTTTGTTAGTTTTAAGCAAGAGAATGACAATATGATTTAATATTTAAAAATGTCTTGGCGGAAAAAGATTACTTTGATGTTGTCTGGAGACTGATTTGTATGGGGGGAGGTGTAGAAATAGGCAGGTCATTTTGAGGCTCTTACAGATGAGATGATGGTGCCTTAGATTAATTAGGGTAGTGGTAGAGATGGAGAGAAGTACATAGATCTGTTACATATTTTATAGTAATTAAGGAGAATGAATAGAAATTGAAACCTTTTTTTAAAATTTCAAGCTTGCCTTGGAACGTCAGAAAACTGCAGAGAAAGAGCGATTATTTCTTGTATATGCTAAGCAGTGGTGGAGAGAATATTTGCAAATTCGACCCTCACACAACTCACGGCTGGTTAAGATTTTTGCTCAGGTTTGTAAATTATATTAGAAAAACTCCACAGCTGTATTTGATATTAACTGTATTTTTAAAATACATTTTATTTAACTTGAATTTGTAAAATGTATTTATTACAGAAAAATGAAAATTTATTTGTAAAATACAGTGCTACTTTTGTAATACTCTCTTTCACTGAATGATATAATGTTTTATTTTGCTTTTCATTTTTGTTTCTTAAACCCTTTTTGAATATATATTATTTAAAGTAGATGAAAACCCTTTTGTTTGAGTGTATCTTTGATTGGTACTTAGTACTAAATAACTACTAGGACATTTTCTAATTTATATGTAAATTCAGCTTTTGTGTGTAGAACTGGGGCTCCACATATATATTTTTTCTGGTTAGGGTGTTTTTTTAAAAAGACAAACATATATTATATGTAATAATTCTATATAACCAAGATCCCTAAGCCAATGACCAATAATATTTAGCTCCAGCATTTCAACTGCAGCATTTCAACTGTATATCTCTGCTTCTATTTTTCTTGTATCCTAAGCCCATTTTCTGTCTTTAACAAACATACAATATATGATTAGATCCATATCTTTTTGTAACTTAAGGACTACTTAAATACTTTATGTATATTCAGGCTTATGTAGATGTATTTTTATGTGAATATAATGTTGTAGTGGATTATATTTCTCAGATCCTGTGCATTTGTCTAGCTTTACCCTACATTCCCTAGATTTTTAGGACAGGCTAAAAGTGTTTCAATTTCTAGATGAGGAGCTTGGGAATGTGGGAGACCATAGTTGACTAGTGGTGGAAATGAAGGAAATGGCTTCTGACTTTACAGTAACATTACCTATACATTGAATGACTAGGCAGGCAAGGTAGCAGTGATGTCAGATCAAGGGCAAAGAGAAACCAGTCAAAATATAAGTGGTTCCCGCCCTAGCTGATATGCTCAGTGGTTAGAGCACCGGCCACAAACTGAAGGGTCGCAGGTTCAGTTCTGGTCAAGGGCACATACCTTCATTGCTGGCTCTATTCCCGATCCCTGGCCACCGGCCCCAGTTGGGGCATGTGCAGGAGGCAACCAGTCGATGTGTCTCTCTCACATCAATGTTTCTCTGTCTCCTCCCCCACCTCCCCTTCCACTCTCTCTAAAAAATCAATGGGAGAAATATCCTCTGGTGAGAATTAACAACAACAGCAACATATATAAACATATATATATATATTGTTCCTGCTGTCTATTTAGTCTGAGGTTGCCATAGGGAATCTGACCAGTTTGGGGTGGTTGGTGGGGGAAGGGGAGGAAGTAGAGAAATTGCAAATGAAAGAGGAGGAAGGAAAAGAATGGAATATGCAGTTAAGGGAATCAAAGAACTGAGATTGTGTTTTAGGAAATATTACTTAAGGTTCCTGTCTCGGAATTCATTGTAAGAAGATGTGAACCATGTAAGGTCATTTAGTCTCATGGTAACCATATGAGATTGTCAAGTAGCCAGGCATTGCTACTTTTTGCAAATGGTGTGAAGGATAGAGAAGTGAAGATTTTTTTTCTGAGTTCAAACATCAGCTCAGTCATGACAAACTATCAAATTGCAGTTTCAACTATTGCTCATTAGTTTGTGCCATTTCTTTCCATATAGAGTAAATAACATTTTTATCTTTCTTAGGTTCCTTTTCCAATAGTGTTTCTTGTTGCTTCTTCCTATGTTTGGCTAGATACGAAATTAAGGTACAACAACAGTTATTTAAGGCATCAATCTAATTACAAAAACTATAGTTTTAAATATAGATATTATTATACATGGCCTTAAAATGAATTTCCAGTGATTCCATGCCCAAGAGGAAATAGTATACAATAGCACTATCCAGTAGAGCTTTCTGCATTGATAGAAATGTGCTGTCCAGTGTGGTAACCCTTAGCCATATGTAGCTGTTGAGCACACAAAATATGACTAACACAGTTAAAGAACTGATTTTTAAAACTTTATTAACAATTAAATAGCCACATATGGTTAGTGGCATTCTATTGAACAGTACAGGGTTAGAGGTTGAAATACTGAAATTTTCTAGATATTTAAATAGTTTATGGGGATATAGTTAGGTAATATTAGAGACATTGCTATAATGAAACAAGTAATGGTATATCTTATATTCCAAGGTGCTACTATTGATAACTTGTTTAGGGCAAATGCATCCTTTTTTTTTTTTTTTTTACATTTTCATTTCTTTCTTGCCTATTAGTGGAATTGTAAGAATAGAACAAACCCACCCACACAAGCACTAAACTAATTACCTTTATACAAACAAACATCTTTAGAATATCCAGGGTTATCATATTTATTAACCCATTGTTCTTTTTCTTTCTCACTAGCTGGTTTTGCTATAGTATAATAGTAATTCACTTAATGATAGCTTTTACATTTCCTGTGCAAAATTTTTTTTAAAGGTTCATCTGTATTGCAAATGGCAGGGTCTCTTCCTTTTTTTTTTTTTTTTATGGCTAAATGTTAGTCCATTTTATATGTATACACATTTTCTTTATCCATTCATTTGTTGAAGGAAATTCTGGTTGTTTCCATATCCTGGCTATTGTGAATAATGCTGCAGTGAACATGGTGTGCAATCTTTGAGATACTGATGTCAATTACTTTGGATATATATCCAGGAGTGGGATTGCTGGATCATATGATAGTTTATGTTCTTACTGTCAAAGGCTTTGGCGTTAGCTCAATGTTTGGATCCCGTCCCTGTTGCATAATGGCTGTAGCTTCAGTTTCTTCATCTATGAAATGAAAGTAATAGAGATGTTATGAGGATTAAAAGAGAAATTGTATGCATAGCACTCAGCAATCTAGTGCTAGGTACAAGGTAAGCAGTAAGTGATAATCCAGAATTATTTTATTCTACATTAATGTACTCTGAGAACAGGTGTTAAAATTGAAAATGATTAATCAGTCATTACAGATAATGTTTTCCCTCTCTTTCTCCAGGACGAAAATGGGATAAATAGACCAGTCTGTTCCTATGTTAAACCACTTCGAGCTGGGCGGCTTCTGGATACCCCAAGGCAAGCAGCAAGATTTGTTAATGTCCTTGGTTATGAAAGAGCCCCTGTTATTGGAGGAGGAGGTAAACAGGAACAGTGGTGCACTCTGCTGGCCTTTCTCTGTAGAAACAAGGTATCCTACACACATAATAGAATTAAAAAGCAGTACGTCATAATTGTGAATTTATGGTACATTTGTAAAATAATTAACGTAGAAAAATATACATAGTATCAACTTGAATAAGACAATCTTTTCACCGTTTTTCTTAACACTTAAATGTCAATACATGAAAAAACTTAGCATCTTTATTTTCTCATGTAGCTTATTATTTACTGTGATTTCTGTGAGGTAAGGATCTGTAAGTACTATTATGTCAGAAACCAAGATATAGAAGTAAATGAAACTGAATTAGAGCAGCAGGACTATTACTATGGTCTTCTAGTATTATTCATGTATTAAAATTTGTTTAGATGTGTTATTTTTTTTAAAAAATGGCAGTACAAAATGAATATGGAAAAAATTACTGGATTTATTGGTGTTTTGATTAGATCAAATATAAGTATATATTTAAGAATTTATATAAATTTATTGATCTTAAACTTAAATGAAGTGATTTCAGTAAACTAGCCATGTTACAAGCCTTAAAGACATTGAAGTCATTAAGGTCCCTGAAAATGGCTATAAGAAGTTTTAATAAAATAATTTTCATTAAAAACAAACAAGTCAGTCTTAAGCATTCCAGTTCTGTTGAAACAGAACAGAAAAAAAGAACTGTATTGTTGTTTTGAAACAATTTTGTTTAGTCTTGAAGTTGTGTAAATACTATAGGTATTCATAAGGCAAGTTTATGCAATGGAAGAAACTATATTAGAAATTGATTTGTCAGAATGATTTTGTCTTGGACAACTGAAAACAGTTAAACATTACTTGTCAAAATTGTTTTTTTTAAAATATATTTTATTGATTTTTTACAGAGAGGAAGGGAGAGAGATAGAGAGTTAGAAACATGGATGAGAGAGAAACATCGATCAGCTGCCTCCTGCACATCTCCCACTGGGGATGTGCCCGCAACCCAGGTACATGCCCTTGACCGGAATCGAACCTGGGACCCTTCAGTCTGCAGGCCGACGCTCTATCCACTGAGCCAAACCGGTCAGGGCCAAAATTGTTTTGATTTATTCTCAATCTATAGTTCCCAAAAGTTGTGTGTATAGATTAAAACATTTTTATTTCAAACATAGTAGGAATGGTACATATTTAAAATTATTATCTATACTAATAAAAGCCTATGTGGTCGTCATGCCCTCACGCCGTAACAATCCATCACCAGGAGGCTGTGTGTGCAGCGGGTGGGCGGGGACTTGACGCTGCGTGCTTGGTGCGCAGGCAGGTCCTGGTGGCTCCGTGTGGAGCCACGGAAGCGGGTCCCGGCGGCTCTGCGCAGAGCCGTGGAGGTGGGCCCCCGGCTCCGACCTACCTCTTTGGGGCAATCCATCCAGGATCCCTGGATGGGTGGGCGGGGCCTACCTCTTTGGGGAGATGATTGCGGGGCGGGGCTCCTGCCCCTATGAGGCACCAGGCCACCCCCCCACCCCCCCCAGTGCACGAATTTTGTGCACCCGGGCCTCTAGTGTAAATAATATTTTTGTAAAGCAAATAATCACCCATTTGATTCACTGTTTTTTTGTTTGTTTTTTTAAAATATATTTTTAATGATTTTTTACAGAGAGGAAGGGAGAGGGATAGAGAGTTAGAAATATCAATGAGAGAGAAATATCGATTAGCTGCCTCCTGCACACCCCCTACTGGGGATGTGCCCGCAACCAAGGTACATGCCCTTGACCTGAATCGAACCTGGGACCCTTGAGTCCGCAGGCCGATGCTCTATCCACTGAGCCAAACCAGTTAGGGCTGATTCACTGTTTTCTTGTTGTTATTTAAGTTTGTTTAAAGAGAAAGCACATCTTTAATTAGAAATTTGAAAATTACGTAAAATATTTTTCTGGCACAAACAGATTTACAACAGTGAAAGTGAAATTTCATCCATAATCCTATTGCCAACATGTCTTTTTATACTTTTCTCTTTTTTTTTTTTTTTTAAATATATATTTTATTGATTTTTTACAGAGAGGAAGGGAGAGAGATAGAGAGTTAGAAACATCGATGAGAGAGAAACATTGATCAGCTGCCTCCTGCACACCTCCTACTGGGGATGTGTCCGCAACCCAGGTACATGCCCTTGACCGGAATCGAATCTGGGACCCTTCAGTCCGCAGGCCGACGCTCTATCCACTGAGCCAAACCAGTTTCAGCTACTTTTCTCTTGTTATATATCATTTTTTTCTATAACCTCTCCTGTTAGGTATCATTTTTTTCCATAATTAAGATATAAGTAAAATATTGTGTCCTGCTTTATAATTTAGCATTGTGCTATGAACTCTGTGTTGCTAGTCTTTATGATCTCTGTCTGTTAATGGCTGTTAATGGCTGTATGAAATTTTCTTAAGTTGATATATAAAATCTGCTTAACTGTTTCCCCATTGTAGGCACTGTTTCTTTGGCTGCGTTAGGTTTGCTTCCATTTTTTGATATCATGGAGAATGATATTTTGCATTGAACATCGTTGGTTGTATTGTTGGGGTTTTTAGTATAAAATCTCAATGTAGAAATTACTGGGTTTCCAAGGTTGTATATTATGTTTTTCTAAAGTCAATTTAATGATTATAAAATGCTGTTTGTTTTATTGCAATTAGGTAAAAAGCAACAGTGGAGAACCACTACTGCAAAATTTTGAGGATGAAGATACATCATCCATTCTAATACTGAACTCAATAGTTATTTTTACTTTTGCATATTACCTGTATTTCTGTGTTTAAACACATATCTTCATGTAATTGTAGTCTTACTGTTTAATATTTTAATAATGTATTTCATAAAAGCTATCAGATATTTTTAATTTTTTGTAGTTTTTATAATTTTTTAAAATTGTGAAAGTAATATAACATTATCAAAGAGAATTTAGAAAGTAAAAGGGAAGCCCTGGCTGGGTAACTCAGTTGATTAGTGTGTCATCCCGATATTCCAAGGTTGCAGGTTCGATTCCTGATCAAGGCACATGCAAAAATCAGCCAATGGCCCTAGCTGGTCTGGTGTTGGCCTGCAGACTGAAGGGTCCTGGGTTCAATTCCGGGTTGCAGGCTCAATCCCCAGCCCTGGTCAGAGTGCATGCTGGAGGCAACCAATCGATGTGTCTCTCTCACATTGGTGTTTTTTTCTTTCTGTCTCTCCCCCATCCTTTCCACTCTCTCTAAAAGTCAATGGAAAACTTTCCTTGGATGAGCATTAACAACAACAAAAAAGAATCAACCAATGAATGCATATAAGTAAATGGAAGAGCAAATCAGTGTTTCTTTCTTGCTCCCCCTCCCCTTCCTTTCTTTTTCTAAAAATCAATTAAAAAATAATTGGTGCCTGAGCAAATAAGTGCATTGGACATTGTATCAGTCATGTACTAAAAGTTGTATTTTAATTAGATTTCAAAGTAAACATTAAAAAAAAATACTGGGGGAAATTATATATAATCACCTTAAATATAGCTGCTGTTGGCATTATGTTGTATATTACCCAGTCATTTTCCTATGTATTTCCTTAAAATAATCATGTATAGATGCTGTAACTCATTGTTTTCAGTTTGTGTGTTTTCCCATTTGCATTTTCTGCTCTATGATTTGTCAGCTTGTCTGTTCATGTTCATTAGCTATTCATTTTAAAAATCTTACTGTTTTTCTTCTATATTGTATGAGTTCTTTATAAACTTTTGAATCTGAATGTTCCCTTTTAAAGTATACATATTATAACTATTAGATTTCTGAGCTCTGACTTTGTAAAATAATTTAGGCTCTTCTAAATTTTGTATTTTATTTTTCCACTCTTATTATTTCAGCCTAACACTATTATCTAATGATTAAAAGGAAAAAAATTAATAATATGTTTTATTGTCATTTTGTATTTATATATTTAATGAGGAGACAATATGAAGGAACATACTTAATTTTTTAATTATATTTTTATAGGGTGACTGTGAAGATCATGCTAACCTTCTGTGCAGCCTTCTTCTTGGATATGGATTAGAAGCGTTTGTCTGTGTTGGGACTAAGGCAAAAGGAGTACCTCATGCTTGGGTTATGACTTGTGGAACTGATGGAACCATCACTTTTTGGGAGAGTTTAACAGGACACAGGTTAGCCAACTAAGTTTACAAAGATATGAAAATGAAGATGCAAATATTTTATATTATAGGTTGTTTAGATTGATGATATCAAAGGTACTTGTTGATAATTTTAGTTATTAAAGCCTTTTCAGTGACTAAAACTACTTCAATTAAAATATGTAATTAAACTCTTAAGAAAATTTGTACACTTAAAATATTCTTTACTAACATAATATTGGTAAAAATATACATTATATTTACTTTTAATTTTATATAATTGGTATATGCTTTTCTGATGATCATCTCTAAGCCTGAAAATAAACTCAAGTTGAAATCATGATTTCTTTTTAAAATTTGATGTGGTCACCAAGTCTGTTAATAAACTCATTGGACATTTTTTCAGGCTTTTCCCCCCCAATTTATTTATTGATTTGAGAGAGAGAGGAAGGGGGAGGGAGAGAGAAACATTGATTTGTTGTTCCACTTACTTAGGCATTCCTTGGTTGATTCTTGTATGTGCTCTGATGGGACACTAAACCTGCAACCTTGACATATAGGGACTGGAGGCTCAGTGCACGAAATTCATGCACTGGTAGGGTCCCTAGCAGCTGCCAGCTGCTGGCCGGGTACTCCCTCCCTGCCCTCGGCTGCCTGCCGCTGGCTGCCACTGATGGCCAGGGCCTCCCTCCCTTCCCCCAGCCACCTACCAGTGCGGGGGTCCTCCCTCCCTTCCCCCGGCAACCTGCCAGCGCCAGGGCCTCCCTCCCTTCCCCTGGCCGCCTGCCAGAACCAGGGCCTCTCTCCCTTCCCCCGGCCACCTACCAGTGCCGGGGCCTCCCTCCCTTCCCCCGTCCAGCCCGCCCCCTGGTTGAACTCCCGGAAGAACTGTCGAGGGGACAATTTGCATACTACGATTTTATTATATAGGACTAGAGGCCCGGTGCACAAAATCGTTCACTTTGGGGGGGAGTCCCTCAGCCTGGCCTGCGCCCTCTTGCAGTCCGGGAACCGCACGATCGATTGTCCCGCAGAGGGAGGCCCTGCCCACCTGTCATAGCAGTGCTGGCCGGAGGCCTGGGCCTCCCTCTGTGGGGTGATTGATCGCAGAGCCTCCCCCCACCCCTCCTGGGACCAATCACCCCACAGAGGGAGGACCCGCCCACCTGCCGTAGCGCCACCAGATGGGTAGCCTGGGCCACCCTCTGCAGGGCAATCGTGGAGCGATGGTGGGGCCCCCTGACCAATCGCATCGTACCCTGGCACCAGTGCGTGTCATAGTGTGGTCGTCCAGACGGTTGTTTTGCTGTTCGGTCGATTTGCATATTACGCTTTTATTATTATAGATGATGCATATTGGTATGTGGCATATTGGGATAAAGCCACAGCCCTGAGCCCTCTTCTCATATTTTTGGGTTCTTTTTCTTTCTAGTTGATAATCATTTTTATTAATCATACCTCATAATATATAGCCAAATTATTTTAATTGTGTTATCTGAGATAAATGTTTTTTATTTTAACAATATGCATAGAATATATTTTCATGTTAAAGGAGTAAAGTTGATTTCTATAGCATAAGTTATGCTATATAATTAATATAGAGCAGTGGTTCTCAACCTTCTGGCCCTTTAAATACAGTTCGTCATGTTGAGATCCAACCATAAAATTATTTTCGTTGCTACTTCATAACTGTAATGTTGTTACTGTTATGAATCGTAATGTAAATATCTGATATGCAGGATGGTCTTAGGCGACCCCTGTGAAAGGGTCGTTCGACCGCCAAAGGGGTCGCGACCCACAGGTTGAGAACCACTGATATAGAGTAATCAAATTATAGAAAGATAAGAACGTAAAATGAGTATTAAAACTCTAGTCCTGGGAAATAGTTAGGCCTTTAAGTGTCCTCAATAAAATGCTGCCTTCCTAATTTAAGTTATTATTATGTAAAATTATGATTTGCCTTTTTTAGGTACATCCATAAATCTAACAATCCTGATGAACCTCCAGTTGCTGAACAGCCCAAACCATTGTACCCATATCGAACAATTGGTTGTGTTTTCAACCATCAGATGTTTCTGGGAAATTGTCAGCCCTCTGACTCTGTAGAAATCTGTGTATTTGATTTGAATGATGAATCTAAATGGAAACCCATGAGTGAAGAAGCAATTAAATCTGTGTGTGCTCCAGGAGCTACAACATCCCTTCCTCCCTTTCCACCTCTTTGTGCATCCACGATTGATGCTTCAGTAACAAGTAATGAAATAGAAATGCAGCTAAGGTTACTAGTGTCAGAACACAGGAAGGTAATTAACACTGAAATTTGTAGTTTCATGCTTTTTTCATTTGTTTATGGCTAAACAATTTTTGGGGTGTGTATATGATATTGTCAGTCACTATTCTAGCCCTGAACAAGGCAAATACTGGCCCTACCTTTAAAAGCTTATAGTTTTGAAAGTCATGAGATAAAGCTCTGAGACTCAGAAATTTCTAAATTCACCATTATTTCTAGTATTTATTACCTCCTTCTAGAAATAAAGAGTAAATGCTCAGTAAATATTTGAGTTTACTTATATATGCAATTAGTTTGTTGGTTTTTCTCCCCTCCTATAGTTGAGTTTATGGTAGGAGCAATCAAATTAAGCAGATTCAATCTTACTAAATTATGAAGTTAAATAAAATGTGATATCACAATTTATTGTCACTGTCTTCCATAGCAGGACTATTCCATATGATCTTTTCTAGTGGATAGTAAAGAAGTATAGAATTTGGAGCCCGTATTAACATCATTATATTGAAGTTTTTGTTTTTTTCAAGAATTAAAACTGATACCAATAGTTTATTTTTCATTTATGTATTTTTATAATAATGGGAAGTTTTAAAAATGGACAGGTTTAAAAAATCTTGGTATATGTTAGAATAATCAACAATTTTTTTATAATTGGGTGTTAAAATATTGTGTTTTACTTTTTCTCTTTTTGATTGCTATAGGATCTTGGCCTCACTACTGTTTGGGAGGACCAGCTTTCTTATCTCTTATCACCAGCTTTGGCTTCTTTATGAATTTGAGCGAACAACAAGTATATCTGCAGGCAATGAAGAATTTCAAGATGCCATAAGGAGGGGCTGTACCTGATGGTCACACTTTTAAAGGGCTCCCAATACATTTTGTGTATAGAAATGCAAGGCGTGCATTTGCCACATGTCTTCGGTAAGGTGGAATTTATGAATTCATAAATGTTTTGAGGTAGGGCTTTAAGAAATCAGTTAGTCTGATAGTTTATTTAGAAACTAGAGGCCTGGTGCATGAAATTCGTGCACTTGGGGGGTCCCTCAGCCTGGCCTGTGCCCTCTCGCAGTCCAGGAGCCCTTGGGATGTCTGACTGACAGCTTAGGCCTGAGCCCCTGCGCATAGGTGCCTAAGCTGGCAGTCGGACATCCTTAGCACTGCCAAGGAGGCAGGAGAGGCTCCTGCCACCACCGCTGCGCTTGTCAGCTGTGAGCCTGGCTTCTAGCTGAGCGGTGCTCCCCCTGTGGGAGCGCACTGATCACCAGGGGGCAGCTCCTGCGTTGAGCGTCTGCCCCCTGGTGGTCAGTGCGCGTCATAGCGACTAGTTGTTCTGCTGTTCGGTCGATTTGCATATTAGCTTTTCATTATATAGGATAACTTCAGATTCACATGGGGAACTTCTATAAATAAGACTTACCTTCTTTGCCACAGATTGTGATTCATTAAGCCTGAAATGTAGCTTTTGATAGTTTGGGATAATTTTCCCAGTGATTTTGGTGCAATCTTTGTTGAGGATCTCTGATCTTGACTAGTGTAATTTTTTAAATGTATAGATTATGAGGAAATAGTCTATAATTTGATTAAAATTACAGAGCCCAGCCTGGCTGGCGTGGCTCAGTGGTTGAACTTCGCCCTATGAACCAGGAGGTCACGGTTCAATTCCTGGTCAGGGCATATGCCTGGGTTGTGAACTTGATTCCCAGTGGGGGACATGCAGGAGGCAGCCAATCAATGATTCTCTCTCATCGTTGATGTTTCTCTCTCTCTCCCTCTCCCTTCCTCTCTCTGAAATTAATAATAAAAAATAATTAAAATAAAATAAAATTACAGAGCCCTTGGTAGTAAAGACAGGATTTTAAAATATTTAAAATGGTGACTTACTTAGAAATAAGAAAGTGAAGCCTATGTTTACTTCCTAAGTGAGTAAATTTTCTTCCTTCTGTAGGTCTCCTTTCTGTGAAGAAATAATCTGTTGTCGTGGAGACCAGGTGCGGCTGGCAGTTCGTGTCCGAGTGTTTACTTACCCCGAATCTGCATGTGCTGTTTGGATCATGTTTGCTTGTAAATATCGCTCGGTATTATAGGACTAACATTTGTATAAGAATATACCTGTATTTTATTGGATTTTTACACATTGTATATTACTGCCTGTTTAGAAGTTATTTTAAAAATCACAATCTGGCTTGGGTGTCATATTTCAGTTTTGTATATACTTGTAGTGTTTGAAAAAAATATGTGTCTATTTAAAAATTAAGGATGAAAAACTTGTATAAATTTGAGTGGAATTTAGTATAAATTAAGTGCATATTCTATTTTAATAAATACTGTTTTATTTATAGGTATCAGTAGTTTAAATATGAATATAAAATTAACTCAGTTTTTTTACATTAATAAGTAATCAGAAAGATGTCTGAGAGTTTAAACCATAGTAAAATCAATATGATCATTATTTTTCTTAGATTGATGGTATTATTTGATATAAATTAGGAGAAATTAACCTCACAACAGATTTATTTATTACATAGGTTAAAAGACATTTTGATGAATTATCACTTTTATAGTTTACCCATGACCATAGGGATATTTGTGACTTTCCTGATATTTATGGGAAGACTTGATGCAAGAGTAGGAAAAAACTAGTAACGGAAAAGCACAAATATTAACAAACAAACCTCATATGAAAGTACATGAATAATTTGTAAGTATTAGTTTTATTCATTATAAAAATGAACTAAGTATTTTAGAAAAAATTCATTATATCCTTTTGTTGTGATCCTGACAAATTGTTTTCTGTAGTTAATATTGGCATTCTGTTGCTGATTTTCTGTAGTCAAAAATTCATCAGTAGCCTTTTCATGGATTCCATCTTCTGAAAACACATTTTTTAAAATTTCATAATGATAAAAACATCAGTGTATATGTGACTAATCTAAATCAGAATCATTGTGTGAGGCTACTTAAAAACACGCATATAAGAATGACTCCATGATGTTGGTTTTAAAACTGAGCAAGTTTTAAAAGTGGGCATTAAAAAAACTATAGCAGTCTGACTTTTTTTGTAAGAAGCTGCAAATGTAAGTGATAGATTTGACTGTCCTTCAGCATCTCTGTGCACAGATTTTACCTTTGTCCTTAGGAACGGTATACCAGTTGGCTCTGCAAGTTACTGTTTTCATTAGTTTAATTTACCATTGTGAATACAATTTAATGTTTTTTAAAAAATTAACTAAAGATATCTTAAAATTTACTTTTTGTTTCATTTTATTTGCATAGGATAAATATTTATTGTTTAACTTGTTTTAAAAGTATGAGAATATTCCTCTTCTGTCAATTTTCATTGAAAACAATAATTAGATGTTTCTTGTGAGACATGACTTGAGAAAATTAGCAAAATAAGGATTAAGACTTTTTTATGCTGTTGCCAAAATTACTCATAAAGTTATCAATAGAGAAAATTGCTTGTTAGGGCTAGGAATTTTCAACTTTGGGAACAAACTATTATGAGGCATGTACTGTGAGGCAGACTATATTAAAATCAAGGCTATATTATCATTGAGACTGGGCTTCATTTATTTATAAGAGCTCCTTTGATATAAATTCTAAAATAAATTTCCTTTTTATGCACTTTAATAGGCATGAATTAACATTTTTCTCTGAAAATGGTTTATTTCAAAAGATTACGTATTTTAGTGCATTTATCACTAAAATTTCACTATTACGATAATTTTTCTTTATAAAAATTAAAGTTACCTTGTGTATTTAGCTGTCATAAAAGTTGTTTTTCTATTAAAAACAAAATATTTTGATATAACGTCTCTAAGGTGTTCTTTTTGAAAATATGTACACTTACTAGTACATAGTCCTCTACTAGTATACATTATATGTAGGTATATTTATTTAGTAGAAGAATATAAGAAACCTAGAAACTTCATTACTCAAGCATGAACCTGTTGAATAAAATTTGTTAAATTCAGTTCCAAATAACTGAACACCAAAGTGCCTTTAAATTTTTTCTAGTATTGAATAGTGTATATTTTTAGATTTGCAAAATGTATCTATAACCTAGCAGTTCTGGAAAGTACACACTTTGAAACCATATTTTCTACTTCTTAACAAAGAAGATATGAGGCAAATAAAGTGTAGGCTTTATATTTGAAAAGAATATTGCTCATAAAGTAGTATCCTGTGCCAGATAGCTGACCATCAGAAGATGTTATTTATGAACTACCAATTATTTAAACTTCTGATTTCATGCTTTACTAAACAAGAAAATAGCTTAGATTAGACTGTAGTTTTTAATTTCATATTTTTTTCTTTGACTTAATTTCGTACTTCCTATTTAAGTAGATAAGTACAGGAATTAAATGATCTTTTTAATATGCACTTTTATACCAATGAAATTAGCATTGCTTTCTAGCTATTGGTAATTAAGAAACAGATTGGCTAAAGCAGGGGTCCTTAAACTTTTTAAACAGGGGGCCAGTTCACTGTCCCTCAGACCATTGGAGGGCCAGATTATAGTTAAAAAAAAAACTATGAACAAATTCCTATGCACACTGCACATATCTTATTTTGAAGTAAAAAAACAAAACGGGAACAAATACAATATTTGTATTTGCATGTGGCCCGCGGGGCCGTAGTTTGAGGACCCCTGGGCTAAAGCCTATATAAAATCTTTTTTCTTTTTTAACATATTTTTATTGATTTCAGAGAGGAAGGGAGAGAGAGAAACATCAATGATGAGAGAGAATCATTGATCGGCTGCCTCCTGCACACCCCCTACTGGGGATCCAGCCCACAACCCAGGACCCTTTAGTCTGCAGGCTGACACTCTATCCCAGTGATGGCGAACCTTTTGAGCTCGGTGTGTCAGCATTTTGAAAAACCCTAACTTAACTCTGGTGCCGTGTCACATATAGAAATTTTTTGATATTTGCAACCATAGTAAAACAAAGATTTATATTTTTGATATTTATTTTATACTAGCTGTACCCGGCCATGCGTTGCTGTGGCTCAGTCTGGTTAAATGGAAAAGAAAGAAAAGAGAAAGCGCACGTTTCTAATATGTTTAATTTCACAATGCTTGTGGGTATACAGTATTTTTTGTTGTTCCATTGTCTGTGCAGATATAGAGATTGTCTGGTTTGCTGACTCTAGAACATGCAACATATATTGTCCATGTGAGAAGCAATCCGTGTCTAGATCTAAACCGCACAATTCTAAAGGTTGGCCCTGAGCTTTGTTGATGGTGATTGCAAACACCAATCGAATTGGGAATTGCAATCTCTTAAATTGAAATGGCATATCCGTTGGAATCATAGGAATTCGAGGAATGAGGACATCTTCACCTTTGAAAGGTCCTGTCAAGATTGTTGCTTCTACGACGTTGCTCATTAATTTTTTTACTGCAAGCCGCATGCCGTTGCAAAGCTTTGGCTGGTTGATATTTCGCAACATGATAATTGGCACGCCGATTTTCAATTGCAGTACGTGCGGTGGCATCCCTGGCAGATCGAGTGAATTCAAAAATTCTGTTGGATAATTAACCGCTTCATCTGCTTCCACAACAGCATCGACGGACTTGTATGTGACTGTCTCACTTTGAATGTTAGACTGAATAATACTGTTAAGTTCATAGATGTCTTTGTTCTTGGCCGCAAGAATAGCTCGTTCACTCAGCCAATCGTGATTCTTATAATTGGTTTGAATATTGGGAAATACTTTTTCAACCAATTCTTCTTTTGACGTCACTAAATTGCAGAAGTTATGAAGCAATGAAATTCGTTCTGAGGTCAGATCAACCGGCGCCTTTCCGTTCCCAATTTCCAGCAATTGATGTGAGAATATCTCAGCTGATCGATCGTTTTGCAGCTGGACACGCATATTTGTAGTTAATTTTATCTACAATTTATAATTGTAAACAGAAACATTGAAATGGAATCGTAACATATTTAGTATAGCGTGTGTTGCTTTTACGTCCAACAGATGGCGCTGTTTTTCAAAAACATGTTTTTACCTGTCACAGGTGTGACATCTATATAATAGTAGGTATATAGGTATATAAAAACACGCGCGTATTCGAATGCAACGTTGTGTCAAAATTTCAAAGCAATCGGTGAAGAACTTTCAGAGATTTAAGATTTTGAACAAACGAACATTTACATTTTTATTTATATAGATATTTAAATGCCATTTAACAAAGAAAAATCAACCAAAAAAATGAGTTTGTGTGTCACCTCTGACACGCGTGTCATAGGTTCGCCATCACTGCCCTAGGAGCTGTATCGGTGAAGAAATTGCTTTGGCATATGTCAGATTTGTTGCCTTTGGATTCCTCTAGTATTTTTATGGTTTCCTGATCTAGTCCACTTTATAGAGAAGTTAAGTTCCCTGTGCAAGCATACATATCTCTAGTAGCAGATTTGTTCTAGAACTATGTTCTGAATTTGAGTTTACCTTTTTTTTTGTATATCTGTGTACACAAATAAGTTTTTCTCTGTGTGGGGATGGGATTATTGGGTATGGCCATTCAACCTATAGTATGGAAAAATTTTGTTGCCATAAATGCTATCTCCATTTTTTTTTTTAAAAAAAGATGCTGTTCACTCCTTGAGCCATCATTCCAATCCACATTTCCATTTTTCATATTAGTGGTTCTGCCCAAGAGGTAGGCATCTATCTATCTTTTATGGTACCTATCACATAATCTAATTATATATATATATATAAAATCAAGTCACTGACAGATGAGGCCAGAATATTTGTTTAGGGAGAATGACATAGGGAAACTGAGGCCCTGAGAGGCGGTGAGCTGCCAGAATGAGGTTCCTTGTGGTATGTCAATTATATAAAGATATGTAGAATTCTACCATTGGTTTGGGTAAAGATTCAGTAAATGAGGTATTTGGATAGTACCCACTAATAAGCATCTAGAAATTATTTGAGTAATACTCAGTCTATATTCTGAGAATTACTCCCGAAATCCATTTATTTACAAATTAGTTGTAACTGGCCAGTTATTTAACTTTTACAAAATTTTTTCTTTGCCAAAAATGTATGGTGAGGGTATGGGAATAATGGTAAATATAAAAGTAGTTAATTGTCAGAGGTTACAAAAATCTATTCAGTTTGAACATAAGCAAACAGATTTTTCACCATTTTTAATTTTTTAACAGCTTTATTGAGATAATTTGCGTACTATACAATTAACTAAAGTACACAGTTCAGTGGTTTGTATTATAAACAGATATGCAACCATCACCAGTTTTTTAGAATATTCCATCACCTCAGAAAGAAATCCTGTACCCTTTAGCTATTATTCTCCTGTCTCCCCATTACCTACCCCCATCCCCACCACCCCAACCTCTAAGCAGCTACTAATTTACCTTCTATATAGATTTCCCTATGCTGGAATGTCATATGAATTGAATTATATAATAGATGGTATTTGGTGTCTGGCTTCTTTCACTTAGCATAATATCTTTAAGTTTTGTCCTTGTTGTAGCATGTATTATTACTTTATTGCTTTTTGTGGCCAAATAATATTTCATTTCAATGATATACCATATGTGTTTATCCATTTGTCAGTCAAATAGACATTTTGGTTGTTTCCACCTTTTGGCTATTATGAATAATGCTGCTATAAGTATTCAGTATACAAGGTTTTGTGTGGGCACATGTTTTCATTTTCCTTGGGTATATACCTAGGAGAGGACTTGTTGGGTCATATGGTAACTCTATATTCAACATTTTGGTTAACTGCCAAATAGTTTTCCAAAGCAGCAGCACCCTTTTCCAATCTGACTAGCAGTGTGAGGGTTCTGATATGCCCACACTCTTGCTAACACCTATTATTATGTCTTTTTTATTCTCGCCATCCTAGTGGGTGTAAAGAGGTATTTCATTGTAGTTTTTATTTGCATTTCCCTGATGACTAATTTTGTTTAGCATCCTTTCATGTGCTTATTGGCCATTTGTATGTCTGTCTGGATCCTTTGCCCATTTTTTAATTGAGTAATTTGTCTTTTTATTAGAGTTGTAAGAGTTCTTTATATATTCTAGATACAGTCCCTTATCAGATATATGATTGGTAAATATTTTCTCCCATTCTGTGGGTTGTCTTCACTTTCTTGATTGTGCCCTGTGAAGCACTGAATTTTTTAATTTTGATCAAATATAGTGAATCTATTTTTTTATATGTTGCTCTTGATTTTGTTGTCATATGTATAAGAATTCATTGCCCAATCCAAGGTCAAGAAGATTCATTTATCCCTATGTGTCTTTTTTATGTTTCATAGTTTTAGCTCTTACACTTAGATCTTTGGTCTACTTTCATTTAATTTTTGTATATGTTGTGAGGTAAGGGTCCAACTTTATTCTTTTGCATATGAATAGCCAGTTGTCCAAGCACCATTTGTTGGAAAGAAAGAGGATTCTATCCCTGTTGAATGGTCTTAGCATCCTTGTCGAAAATCAGTTTACCACTGATATATGTGCTTATTTCTAGACTTTTAATTCTATCCCTATTATGCCAGACTAAAATTTCCGTAAGTGTAAAATACTGGCTTGGCCTAAAATTTAGATCTATATGCAGTCTTTCTAAATCAAATCTTCTTACCTAATTGAAGCTAATAATTCCACCTACATTCAGAATCAGAATATCATCTCTCCTTGTTGGTTTAAAATAATTGGGGGCATGCGGGGGGCAGCTAATTGATGGTTCTTTCTCATTGATGTTTCTCCATTCCTCTCTAAGATCAATAGAAACATTTAAAACAAAATAATTATTTCAAAGGAGAATCACCTT